CCTCCAGGACATGGCGTGGATCGGGACACCAACAATGGCAAAGGAGACTGGGTTGGCGGGTCTGTCCATGTGGGTAACCTACTTATGAAATGAATCATACATAATTCCCAACATTTTCAACCAGAACATCAAATAATTAGAACATCAGAAAGGTTTTAACGTTTTCAGCTACCAAGCCTGTTGGAGCTTGCCATTCTTAAGGATTAGGAATCCTACGGCTGAGCGCGACCAGTACACCATGATCTTGAACTGCCCTTGAAACTGTTGGTTCAAGTGCTCAACTACGGATTTAATCTCACCCGTGGTCTCATCGTGCTTGATGCGCTTTCGGCGGCATCCATCCTGGAGACATTTGGTAATAGACTTGTAGATCAGTTTATACTTAAGGATATGTAGCCATTATGTTGCTCATATGTGATATGTCATAACAAACATGCATGCTTAAGATGAAAGGCGAGTGGGCTGTCCTCTCCAGCTTTGGGGGCTGGCTCTGCACATGTGGACGACTGCTTTGCTTTTTTTGCCTTTGCTCCTTTGCCTGCATGTCCTGCCTGGTCCATTGCCTCCTCTTCACCCTGTGCCTTCTTTACATTCTTCGTTTTCTTCGTTTTGCATCCCTTGACCTTGCATCCCTTCTTGACTTTCTTCGTTTTGCCTGCCTCCTTGACATTGCGTTCATCCTTGCCCTTACCTTTGCTCATAGTGGTTGGGATTGCCGTTGTCTCACTGCTTGGATTCCTTGTCTTTGCTGCTGATGGTGTGGCCTTATCCTTCTGGGTGATCTTACCATCTTCTGGTTCATTGCTTACCATGCGCACCTGTGACTTCATCCTGCGAAGTCTCTTACCTATGGTTTTTGGACTGTTGCTGGATTGCTCCTTGTTTGCTTCAGGTTCTGCCTTTCCTGCCTTAGCTGCCTTTCGTGCCTTTGCTGGCTTTTCTGCCTTGGCTGCCTTTCCTGCCTTTCCCTTAGGCTTCCTTCCTTTCCTCGTAGAGTTTTCCTCTTTCTTTTCATCCTTCAACCGCTGTTGCTTCAAGCGATCCACAACCTGAGCGCACAGAGCAGCTGAGAACCCACATATTGAACTTTTCCCCTGAAAAAAAAACATCTAAAACAGAAACACTTGAAGTTCGGTTGAAGTGGTAGAGACATCAACCTATATCCGGTTCAAGGAACAGGAATGCGCTCACCTTCATCACCATTGCCAGTAGTAGGATCATTGATTTTGGGGCCTTCATCTTCACCCTGAGTGGCTTCGGGGGGGCACCAAGCTTCATCCACCCCAGCATCGGGCACAGCATCGGGCACAGCATCGGGAGCGTAGTACTGAGTTTCATCCGGCACCATCGGGAGAGTCTCATCAAAGTCCATTGCTGGCACAGAAGTGCTGGCTTCCAACCTGGGAAAGAGATGGGTTCACAGGTTTGATATTAATTTTTAAAGGTTCCAGGGGAATACATCTATCCTAAGGTTCCAGGGCAATACATCTATACCTCTTAAGATTGCTGTTGATCAACTTGGATGGCCATATGAACAATGTTTTCATAAAGACGGAAACTGGTCGATGGTACTGACAAGAAACTTCAAATCTGACTGCAACTTTTCCATCCGGGATCTAATTTCAGCAACCCTTGATGAAGTCGAATCCACTGGTGACGCTATCTCTGGAACTGGATCACTCGGAGAAACCATGGGAGTACCAGTACTGTTGGAATTCTGACCTTTGAGTTCAGCAATCCTGGCCTTGGCCTCCATGATTTTTTTGTGCAATCCAAACACACATTCCTGCTCATCAACAGGAAGGGCTTCTGGAACCCACATATCATTCTCAAGCAAACCCGAGTTCCCACCCACAGATTCAGCCAGAGCTGGCACAACCGGGGTTGTAGTAGGTGACGGAATTGGCACCTGACGAACCCGATCACGTAGATCACACTCCTTAGATTCGCCCTTCTCATCCTCGCTGTCGTCAGGAGCTGACTTGTCCGCGGGGAGGTCTAAATAGAGTTCCTGAGAGGCGGAGTTGCGCGGCCAAGGCCGGTGGGAATTGATAGCAAACACTCCAACATATTGCAACAACTGTATACATGCATGTAATGTAGGGTTCCAAATATATTGAAATGATTCCCATAAAATCTATATATCAACCTCAGCCTGCAGTCAAATTCATTGGTTTCACCGGTTTCACCTTTACCATTTGAAAGTGTGCTGGCCCGATGAACCATGGACAATGTGCCGGGTGCAAAAAAGGCTCCAACTCGCCAAAGTGGGTCAAGAGCTCTCTGAAGTCTGCGTCCTCCAGGGGTAGCTATGGGGCATATATGATCCAAGGGATCTGAACCATATTGTGGATGGAAGAAATCTTGCACCGGATGATAGATGGTTTATCCAATATAGTCCCATTGCAGTTATAGTTATAAGTGTTACCACTATACATGGGCACGAAGCGGTGCAGGTGCAGGATTTCTTCCATCCACCATATGCAAATTGGAATGGAAGAAAATACATACTGTGGTTCCGGGAGAGACCTGGAAATTATGATCTGATTTGAACTGCATGATTGATAATCACATAAAAAATGGAAACATGCATGAAGAAAGGAACCCTTGTCCCGTGGCATGTGAGGACGAATGTACTTGGCTCGCACATATGACACCAGCTTCTTAATGCTAATCACCGACAAATGAACCGGCACTTCCAACTCTTCAGGGATTGGAGGAAGGTTGTGGGCATCAAATCCCTGCTTGGTAGACAGCAGCTGGAGAATCCAAACTTGGTCTTGAATCGTCCCCATATCAGGTGTCTTGATCAGGTGGTGGTATCGCATATTCTCCATGATTGGGATCAAGACTTCTCTGTTCCACAAGGCATGACGTACATCTTTGGATGCAAGGGGCTGGGTATTGTTGGTTACAACAATGGCACCAATGCCGCCCTCTTTCACCCTCTCTTGGATGGAAGGCTCCATCCACCAATGCTTAGCAACACCATAAAGGTTCGCCATAGCAAGGCAGCAAAACGTTTTTTTTTTGAGCCGGTTTGCTCTGAAGGGAACGCCCAAAAGCTTCCAGCAAAAGCCAACTGTACTTGCAAGATAGAATTCATGGCAAGAAATCAAATCAAACTTATTTCGTTTTTCGATGCCCCCCCCCCACGTAATCAGAGCGGGCCTCAACGTGCTCAGCAGCGATGCAATCATCCCAATCAGGACGCATGGTTTCTATGCACATATTTCAAGAGACCCTGTTGGGAATCTATAATATATAGTCTATGCCACATAATATATTCTATGGCACCCATCATATATTTCTTCCATTCTCGATTTGGGGTGCATGGTCACATGCATCTTCCCCTTTTTTATTTCACATCATTCACATCCATACTGTGAGCCTTGGATGCAAGGATCGGGCGCACCTCCAATAGCAATATCGTGAATTGACCAAATTATCTGGTCATTACGGGTAAAATTGTTCATTGATCATTAAAAGGTGTATTCGACCAGATTTTCCCATAATGAACAAAAAATTTTGTTCAAACGGCTTTCCAGGTATATATATATTATATGAATATAATATATTTATATATACCATTATTCTAGTAACTTCGGGCTGTGACTCCGGGACACTGGCCGTCGGGCCTTCGCCGTTTGTGTCGTTGGTTCCTTAGGTGTTCGACTCGACAACGTCGATGCTGTGCTACGGCTCCAGATCGAACCTCGCGGCTCGTACCAAATGGTACCACAGTCATCCATTCACAGATTGGAGTGTGAAATAAAGCATCCAGCTAGTGGGGTAGCCCCATCTATGGAAACCCCCATCATTATTGTGTATATAATGTTGATCATGAAATTAACCATCATTAACAATCCAAATAAATCTGTGAGATTTCCATATTAAAATCACAGATGTTCAATTGTCATTGGTGAAATTGGTCATTAAACTTGCGGAATATTGACATTAAAATCAACAGTCATATTGACAGTAAGATCAAGTCAACTGTCTCTGGTGGATGGGGAACCTAAACAACCGTTGCTGGTATAGCAAAGTAGATCAATAATGATCTAATTGAATCTAGTAATGAAACATCAATCTTAACATTGGAACTGCAATCCGGAATAATTAGATGCAATTAAATTACAACTGCAAGTGTCCTTGCAATTCCAAGTAAATTCATGCTTTGAAGCAGTGAATTGATGACGCGGACTGGCAAGTGATGTTACGGCTGGAACATGGGGGTTGACACATGCACTTTTCATGGATCTTTATCTGTTGGTCCAAGCCAAGTCAAGATTTGCAGTGGCGGACATAGTGCCCCAACTAGGTTTCCTTTCAATGGTTGTTCAGATTCCAAAAGCCATCATGGATGTCCACTCCTACTGCTAAACAGTTGTTTTCTCATGTTTTCTCAATTCACACACGTGGGTTTGTCTGAAAACGGGATACGCCCAAAAGCAGATTATCATAGTTTTCCCCGTGTTGCAATGCTAATCAACTTAGCCATGAAAAGAAAACTCTCCCTTCCCACAATACTGCTTCAGAGTGATAGGTATTCCTGTTGTGGACTAGCTTACAATTCCCATGAAACCAGGTGGTACAATCCAGACCAAACCAGCCATTATTGATCAACTACAGTATACATATAATTATATATATATATATCCCTATGCTTGCTGGTTTTTAAACTCATATTTTGTGTTTTTTATCATGGCAAAACATGGCAAAACTACACAAACATCCCAACAGTTGGCTTCGCCAATCCAAGGCGCTTGTGTCGGCATCCGCAGATTTGTTGCCTAAGTTGATGACGGGGCGATGTTTCATGGATTCTCCCATGATATCATGGGAACTTCTGGTCGGCTGCAGGGAATGGAGTGTCAAAAAGCCCTATCTATGTCAAAATTCGTTTGGAAGATCATCCAACCACCAAGTGAACTGAGGATCCTGAGGTTTAGATTCTTCTAGATTCCAGAAATCATCCATAACTCTTCCTGTTACAATCGTTACAACATCCCCTCCTTTGTCTCCACGGCACTGGCTTTCGGCTTGATGCCCTTGGCCAACTCATCCTTCCAGAGTTGCTCGGCCACAGCATTTAGCTCATCGCTGAGATCGCCACTTAGCGGAGCCGGGTCACCCAAGGCACCTGCGGACCAAAGGAAGAAGCAAAAACTGGAGGACAACCATGGGGAATGGTGGATTTCAGCCATAGAAAGGTGGAATTTCACATTATTTAAGGCATGAAAAAGGGGATCTAAAAGGAATATATGACCGCGCACCAAAAACGGGATTGAAGCAGCTACACTGGCGGATTGAGTTTTGCGGTGACACCCGTGGATATTCAAACTGTGGGACAGACTCTGCTTACAAGCTATCCAGGGTCCCAAAGCTTCAACAATGGTTTCCATTAAAATCTGGGGGTTTCCATGAAAAAAATGGTACCAAAAAAAATGGATGGTAAAAATTTCATGGAATATCCCTTGATATATTTTTCCCAATCTAAAATGGATGTAGCCGGGTAGCCCGGCGAGGAAACCATCCCCAGGGTGGACTCCGCTGCCCAAAAAATGGTGAGGGCATTTTTGTTGCACTAAGCTGAGTATATATTGCACTACGCTTTTCAGATTTTTATATGGTAATAGCCTGTTTTTTTTTAAGATTCCATTTATCTCCATTCATCTGGGTATATATTGCACTCAGCTGAAACTTGCGGCCTCATTTAGGGATGATTCGCACAATCCAATTCCCATGATTCCAAAGTTCAGTCACGACGCGATAGCGTTATAATTTGCCTAGAACATAATCAAACATATATACATCTATCATACATCCAGTTGTTACATGTTGTTACTTACTTCCCCTTGTGTTTTCCCAATGTAATCCCATGACAACATATTAAAAGCTTTATTTATTGCAGAATTAAAACCTTTATCTATTGCAGAAATTCATATCAACTTGGATCGGCACCTCTGCTGGCTTGTCTCCATTCAGAGCACAGTTCTTCCTGAAAACTTTGGACAGGAAGAACTAAGCACAAGCGTACAGTGAAAAGGCCCAACAGTTTTAAATGGACTTATCATGACATATAACCTTTGTTATAGGAGGTTTAATTCCATGTAATTGGTCAGGGCCAGAACTGTAACAATCTGAACAAAGCAAAAAGGGTCTTGACTGACTTAAGGGAACGTCATGGAACATAAAAGAATATATTGTGCGGATATACTAAACACGTTTCTTTTGCAGGGAATGTACATGTTGCCTTCATTTGTTTTTGTTTTCGAAACGATGAGGGTGTGACCAACCAACAAACATCGTTCCATGTCGAGATTTGGGCCGTTTGGGATCAAACCAACCAAATTCGGGTGTAAACAAATGGTAACAAAACAATGGCAATAAACGGGTCAAAAAAATGATTGTTGGTGTGTAAATACATGGCTATCACCGTCTGGTAAACAAACTTAGAAACATAAAATCAACAATCTGTAAGAGAAACATGATCTACAAATAATGAAGACTTTCCATTGTGAGGGTAGTTGCCCATTCGTAGAAACCCAAGAAAAAACGGGTGGGATATGCACTATTCATTCATGAAAACATGGTTTCTTCCCAATCTTGGGTGTGACGTGTGGAGAGATATTTGAGCATAATCTTCCAAGCGAGGTCAGTTCATAGTGACTTATTCTAAATTCCATACACCTCACAGAAAATCATGCGACTTCACCGAAATTCAACCATCTTGCGAATCTGAGTTCATTCATTCATACCCAGTACGACCAAGGAGCACCAGGGCAGCTGGCATATGACCATGGCTATGTCTGCCAGCGGACATCAAAGCAGTTCGTAGGTTTATACTATCCAATCAACAAACCAGGTTATGGAACATCTCTGTCTCCAATCATTGTTCTTTATTTCCAAATAGGTGTGCACCCACTACATCAATAAAGAGCAAATATGTTTTCAAACCTCGCTGTGGATCTGGGTCGCGGTTGGAATTCTGAAGCCGTTCGTCACTAAAAGGTTTTTTCCTAGCTACCAGGAATCCCGTGAACTATCCCAATATATTATTATTTATATATATATATGTATATTATCATATGTGCATGTATACATATACAAATACATTCTGGCTGAATTTCAATAATTCACGACCCCCGGGTCATTCACTACTTTCCAGTGACATCATGACGTGAGGTCAGCAAGCTGCAATTCATCAACAAGATGTCTGTACTATTATGTATATATTATTGAAACCAGCTATATAACCTATATATATATAGTACAGACATTATATATTAGGTTGAATACATATATAGGTTATATATGTTATACCAGCTAAATGTCCATACCCTTTGGTTATTTAACGTAGCCATGGAAAATCAACATGTTTAAAAGGTAAATCACCATAAACCATATATATATATATATATAGTATCTGGTTGGTGGTACTTATATATATATATAGAGAGAGAGAGAGTGGGACGCAACCAGGTTCCCAAAAATACGTGGTTTTAAGTGTTTTTTGGACTATTTTATGATTTTTCCTCTTTTGATCATATATGAAAGATCAAAGTTCTTGGGAGATGCACTGTTTTTGGTTTGTTAATCCTTAGCTCTATTCTTGGTTGCTTGCTTTTTGTAGATCTATTGTTTTTTGATAGGTGGTCTTAGTGCATGAATGGCAAAGTTCTTTGCCCAACAACATCTTGAAACATAGAGATTCATTGTGTCAGTTGGTACTTCAAGTATGTATTAATGTATAGGTACTACCTAGGTATACAGCTATTGCAAAGACAGTATATATATACATATACATAGCACTTTGTATTTGCATTGATATTGGATTGCCAGGTCGCCTTTTGGTTGACATCATAGTTCCAGTGGAACTCTTTTAGTAAATGAAAGTGCAAATTCCAACCTACTCTCCCTCCTCAAGTAGTTGCATTTTTTGGGCATACTTCATGGTAACTTTCTGCATCAATGCACAAGCAAGGCAGCCATTCTCTAGATACAGTTGCTTGGTAAGGTTGCTTAAGTGTTTCCTTTACTTGGTCTTGTGCCCTTCTGGTTACCGTGATGAACTTATACTGACATAGTTTAAGTTTTGCCCACAGCCATGAATACATCTATGGTAATAAAATGTCTGCCATTATATTTGCAGTGACACAGCAAATTACCATGGAATATGCAGGTAAACACGCCTTTTCTGAAGCAAGGGGGAAATGGAAGTGCCCCTGGAATTTGCCAACCCTTGTGATCAATCGATATTTTTAGCAAAGATCTTTTACTGCATTGAAACCTGGAAGAATACCATTGCATATGCAGGTGTCTTTAAGGGCATAGGGACTTATATGCCACCCATTCCATAACTGTATGTACTATATAAGAAAATGTATATATAACATATTTGCATTCTAAGTGCAAATGCAGCTTGGATGTGTTGACACAGCAAATGGCTATGGTATCTGCAAAAAAAATATTGCTTTTATCACAAAATACCCTCTAGATATCAGTGTATGTCCGAAGCTGCCATTTCTACTGAGACTGTATATATACTGATACTGCACACTTGTGACAATGCGCTTGCATACTGGTTGAAACCATTCACCCACTAAAGCACAAACAACCCCTGAAACTTTTCATACAGTTTATAGATCAAAGAATTAAGAACAAGAGTGCGTATTGGTCAAAAAGATGGAGAAGGGACCCCTTTCCATATGAATGCATTCTGGGAGCTGCTACTTCCTAGTCCAATGTGTTGTGTCATAGCTGTTTTCTGTCAAGTTTTAAAAACAGTCTTACCTCTTTTTAGGTGTTACTCATCCTGTCATAAAAGATTATAAAAGCACAGCCAAGCAATTATGGTAACAGGGTACCTGGATTAGATATGCAGTGGCATAGCAAATAATTGTGCAATATGCAGGAAAAACATATTTTTGGAGAAAGGGTAAGTTGGAGCTGCCCTTACCATGTGCCAACTCTTACGAGCAAAGTCAGTTGCAACCAAAGAGTCTTTATTGCAGTCAATCCTGGAAAAAAATATACATATGCAAAGTACATGTGGAAAATGTGTGTACGTATTGCTATGCGCTACTTATGTAGCATCCATATCATAGATGCATACAGTAGTACTACTACAAGGAAAATGCAAGTCCATCAATGTATATAGGAGGGCTATATATAGAAGGGCTAGGAGAGGGGGGAAGCTCATAAAAAAACTCCCTTTCCTTGGCCACCTCTCCCCTAAGGTATACACACACACTATGTTTGTTTTCCCTCCTTTTCCCAGGGGATCTTCATGACTCTCTGGACATTCTTTGGCAACCTTTGGCAACCTGCCATCAGGGAGAGGCTATGTACATAGGAGGGCTATGAGAGGGGATAAGCCCGGAAAAAAAAAAAAATCCTTGGCCACCTCTCCCCCTAAGGGAAGCCATATATATATATATACACACACACTATGTGTGTTTTTCCTCCTTCCTTTTCCCTGGGAATCTTCATGACTCTCTGGACATTCTTTGGCAACCTCTGAGGAAGTCTGGCAATCTGTGTGGATCTCTAGCAATACCATCACAGGTATATGAACATAAAGGATTGAACATGATGTAGCAAAAACTCTGCATTTCCAAAAACGTGGAAAAATGGGGATCTGACAGCGTCCCTTTCTGTATATATATATATATGTATATTACCCCTCTGAAAAAGATGAGTCAGTTGGGATGATGACATTCCCAATTAATGTGGGAAAAATAATCCCAATGTTCCAAACCACCAACCAGTTATGTACAGTTTTGTACATATATATATATGAGGATCAATTATTAATTAATCATGTGCTACATACTATGTATGTTACACAGTAGTTATACATTATATGAATAATTTATACACATAATCCAGGGATATCGGTGCCAGTTCTCTATCCAATCGTCCCAGATCAGTCGCCAAGCAGCATAAGATTGCTCCGTCTGCGCTGATTTGAACAGCTTCGTCACGGAGACGGCACCAGAGACATCCTCGAGATTTTCGCAAATTTCAACTTGGGAGCCAAGTTAGAGCAAAGAAAACATCAAGAATACCTGTTGATCTCCAAAATTATTTGCAGCACATGTACGTATTGTAAATAATTATAACTAGTTATAATTATATATATATATACATCATGCATGTGGACTAGAGACAAGATGTCTTTAAAAGAGAGACTGTGTGTGTATATGCATGACAACACACACATATATATGTAATCCTTTGTCCACGAGCATGCAATCATGTATTCATATAGTCATGTAATTGAATGCATGCACACCGTCCCACACCCGTGCATGACTTTACAAATGCATCTATCTATCGATCGATCTATCTGTGCATCCATTCATCGATCTGCCTTTACATACATGATACATGATATATATATATAATATGTACACATGTGCAAATTATCATCACTGTTACCATCACCATCAAAATGTAACCATTACATAATCCTTCTCCTCCTCCTCCTCATCATCATCATAATCATCAATATAGTAAACATCCGTACACATATATATATATACATAATATGTATATATATATATACTATGTATATATATACTATGTATATATATATAATTATATATATATTAGGCCGTGGGTTGGCCTCTTTGTCTGTTCAAAGCTAAATATGCTAGAAACTATTTACTAAAATGGGAATTTTATACAGAAACTATTTAGAACTATTTGCGCTATTTACAAAATATACAGAAACTATTTACAAAATATACAGAAACTATTTACAAAATATACAGAAACTATTTACAAAATATACGGGAAGATTTACTAAACATATACAAACTACCCACTAAAATTCACAAAATAATCATGCTGCAATCGTATCAAGATCATGACTAGGTAAGATGTTTGGCTGATGATGTGGTGGACAAGGCTTTCAGAATGTTGCCTTGACTTGAGTGTACCCGTGAAAGGATTGAATTGGAATGGTGTGATCATAATTTTATTCATCAATATCCATGACACCCCAACAACAAAATGCAGCAGCGGCACCAACTTAATTTTCCTGTTTTGTGATTCCAACCCATTGTGCCCTCGTGTTTGCGTCAAACGAACGAAACAAGGCAAATGTTGCATGTGCCATTTGGATCCATTTGGTTTAACCCTAGGCATAAGACAAAGTAATTGTAGTAATGATCCATATGCCCATGCAGGATACAAGGTTGGTATTCCAACATTTGAACAATTGAATACCCAATAGTTGGTATCTCATTGAAATGCGTAACATTACTTGTCTTTAAATCCTTGTGATCGTAAATTATATGATTGAAATTTCAATCAAAGTGCGCAATTATTTACATGTCATGTAAGTATATATATATATTTGTATGTGAGATATACATCTGATGCTATAGGATGAAAATGGATAATATTACATATATATATAACACTAAATATGTATGAATAATTATGACTATGTATGTTGCTAGTGATTAGTTTCCAACGGTTGGAAGCGGTTCGAGACTACTCACTAGATAGTAGTTTTGAACGGTTCGAAACGGTTCGAAACTATTTCTTACCCAACAAAACGTAACAAAGTTTAGAAACGGTTTCGAACGGTTTCGAACTATTTGAAACTATTTGGCAAAAAATGTGGGGTAGCAATCATTTTGGGGTAATGAATAGCTTCGAACGGTTCGAAACGGTTTGAAACTATTTACTAGAAAATAGTTTTGAACGGTGCGAAACGGTTTCGAACCAATCACTAGGAGCTGTTTTCTGAAACATATCTTTAATCTCTTCCCCATTCTCTCTCCATCTGCATATAGTGGATGTATAATGATATATATATATTATATATATACACTTGTGTTTTTGTTGTTTCACAGACATGAAAACTGTCATGTATATTGGCAGCAGTATGTTCATATCCGACCTGGATCTGCTAAATGTTGGCTCAATTTTTGCGTTTGTTCTATGCAGATTCTTGTTCATTTTGTTCTTGAACCACCGGTGATGTGTGCAACATAAACCAGTTCCCTGTTGACTCCTTTGACTCTCCCGGGATTTTGCTGTTACGCTTTCCTTTTTGGGCCTTTTTTAATTTAAATTCCCGAAAATTTAGTAAATAGTTCTGGAAATTTTAGTAAATAGTTCCGGAAATTTTAGTAAATAGTTCCGGAAAATTAGTAAATAGTTCCGGCAAATTTAGTAAATAGTTTCCCTTCATAAAGTAAAGGCAAACGGGTGGAGTACTGCATCGGCTGGCTCGCGCAGAGACATCGGCTGGCTCCCGCGGTGAAAGTAAAAGTACCCCAAAGGAACACATCCGGACCGTTTTTGGTGTCACATCCCAGGCCTGCAGCCCGCGGTGTTTTCCCCCAGTTCAACGAACAAGCAAGGACAACACAGCATGATATGCAGGAGTGCTCCACGTTTGCAGCAAACCTTTGGAACCAGGTTCTTTCGATCTCTTGGGCGGTGTGCCAATTGAACATCAACAGAGAATTGAAAGAAGCAATGCCATCAGTGGCCACAGAACAACAAAAAATATACCAACATCAGCCAAATCAATGTTTAATAAGACCTTTTTTTCATTCATCAGAAAAAGCAGGATTAAAACCACTACATGGACTAAATGAAATAAATGGATTACATTGGGTTAAAATATGTTAAAATGACTTAGATGGATTACATGGATTTAAATGGATTAACTGAGTTAAGTGGATTAAATGTATAGTATAAGGGCTGGATAAGGTCTCCTTACACGAAAATGCTGTATATAGAATGTGCAAACATCGAGGCCCTTCACCTAACCAGATTCTCAAACGTGCAAATACTACCTCCAGGATTTTGTCAAAAGACTTGGCCAAGAACCATCTTTGGCAGCTCGCATAGTGCCATAGTACTGATTTTGAGATTTTGAGTTGTTCCATGAAAGCCCGATGTCGTGGTTCCGTGGACCAGCCAGTCAAACACACGATGCTGACATACGTATTTTGTATATTTAGTGGAATCTATCATATTATATTATGTTTTATTTCATATGGATCTTTTTCTTTCGCACCTGTATGCAGATAGGTCATGGGTCTCAACTTATAGCAAGCGTGCATGTACATATGCTTACGTTTTCAAACATGTTGCAGAATATATTGTGCTGGTCACTAGCTAGGGTCACCGCACGAACAAATCGATCCCAGTTTGGCAGACAGCCACTGCTCCACAAGCTGTTGGCAGCAGGGAGTGTTTGTGTGTGTGTGTGCGCATGTTGATTTGTAGGCCCGCTGTCCTGCGTAATGCCCGGTTTTTAGATCCTGTAGTTCTCAAGAGTGTTCAGCAGTTTGTTTGCATTTCTGCGTAAGGTCGTGAGCATGTCAATACATGTACAGTACTCAAATGCAGCAGTGATGAGTTTCAAGTCTGGTGTATATTGTCAACCATCCATTATCCGAAATCGACATTGATTGATGTTCTTGTGTTCCATCTTCTAATGTTTGTGTTCCACCACTTTTCCCACACAAAGACCCATAACCCCTCTTGCTTTGATTCTCCCCAAAGTCATCTAGACTGGTCATAATTAGTCAATGATTTCTGGGTATTTAGTAAATTCTGGGATTTAGTGAATGGTTTCTGAGAATTTAGTAAATAGTTTCTGGGATTTAGTGAATGGTTTCTGAGAATTTAGTAAATAGTTTCTGGGATTTAGTGAATGGTTTCTGCTCAAAACAGAGAACCTTATATAAAGAGGCCGACGCCCTCCCTAATATATATACACAATAAAATCATGTATTCTCGTTTCTTGATAACGCACATTCACATTTGTTCATCATCCCCTTGCGCCCTTGCGCCCAAGGGTCTTTCAGTAGCGCCGCATGATAAGACCAACCTAACGTCGGGTGATTTTGTTTGCACATAGACCTCCAGCGGCGCTTGAAACAGTGCTTGTGGGAGACCAAACTGGTCTGTCTGAACATGGAGGAACAGCCTATGTTCAAACAAACCCATGAAATGTGGGAAGGAAATGTACCAGCAATGAAGGAACTAGCAACCACATTGGGGGGTGCCTTCAACCACCAATGATTGACAAGAGTGGTGGCATGTTAGGCTATGATAACAAATGGGAATGTCACATTATGGACTTCCTTCCTCATTGCCACATCAACCAAAGTTCACAATTCTTGGTAGTATCCGCATGTACGTACGAATCAGCATGAGTAGCACAGCATGCATGGGCGAATCAACTAATGTCAACCCCGGATTAATATGGATTAATGTCAACCCCAAACGGCTGTTTAATCATTTTAATCAACCACAATTCATCAACCAGGGTGAAAAACCCTCCGGTAAACATACAAAAAGCTATAATGGCCCAGTCGAAATAGTGGATTTACCCATGAAACATAGTGATTTTCCAGTTCGCTATGTAAACGTTTACCTCCGGGGTACATGCCATTCATCCGGGGTTGACCTATGATCAAGGTCAGCAGCCCGTTTCGAATCCAGGCACAGTTCGCAGACGCAAAGGTCTCCGGTATGCTTCACCACCTCAGTGATAGCCATAGTTTGATGGGACAAAAACCATGGGAAAAACACCATGGGAAAAACCGGTAGTACAGTTTCCAAAAACCGATGTTTCCTTAAACCAAACCATTGATATCCCCAGGTTGCTGGTTTCTCTAGCTCAAAAGTGGGCGTGAAAGCAGGTTCCTTGAAGAATTGGATAGGCGCGCTTCAACTAGCTGGCCAAATAGGCGGACTGTGAGTTTGGGAGAAGCTTAAAAGGACAGTGAAGATAGTGAAGGAAGAAAGAAGGTTATCCAAGATGATTCTTTATGTGGAGGGTTCCATAAATGGGATACAATAGCTGGATGGTTAAGAGTGGACAATCCATGGATGATTTGGGATTTTAGGAAACCTCCATGTCAACATGATTAAAGATCTTACAATCCCAAAAACATGTTTGGTTGACGGTTGATGCGGACCATAAAAATGGGCTTGGGGTTTTAACACTTACCACGGTGATTGGCGATGGGTCAAAATAGGTTGGAGAGGGATCACTTAAGCACCATTTTGGGCACCAAAAAATGGACACGGGGCTGGGGCATGGGGTGGGTTAAGGGGACAAGCATAGTGGATTAGAACCAAAGAATCAAATCTTTAGTAGAATCTTTAGGGTTTAACTTGGGGACAAGGGGCTGGGACAAGCGGGGACACCGGCTGTCATCCCCCTATTCAAGACCCCACAATTCTGCGCCACCAGAATTTTCACAGGTACAAAATCAAACCAAAAATCAAATCAAAAAAAACCAAGCCACAATACTTAAGCCACACCATAATATATTTCTCTTAGTATTTAGCCACGTTTTGCACCCAAGCAGTCTAGACTTGAAACCCTAAGCCTTTGCCCACGGCCAAGGCGGCCAGTTGGCCACCGCCCTGGGGCCCTGCCCTTTTTCGTTTTTCGTCAGGTGGCACTAATCAGAATCACCGGCATCGAGCCACCTGGGGAAACGCTCAGCTCAGAGCGTTTCCGAAATTCGTTCAGCTGGGCCAACCCTCTGGTAAATCTATGGCCATTTTGAATAGCTTTTTGTATGTTTACCAGAGGGTATATCAGGTAATGTTATGTGGTTAATATACTGTTAATAATGGTTAGTACCATGGTTATTATATGGTTAATGATGGTAAATAGTAATTTGACCTACCCCTCTGAAAAATGATGGAGTTCGTCAGTTGGGATGATGAAAATCCCAATATATGGAAATATAAAACATGTTCCAAACCACCAACCAGTAATGTTATGATCATATGGTATGATGATAATATAATAAATAATCAGGTACATTATTGAATTATATAAAGCTTATACTAATGGTACATATATAATATAATCATAATAAGTCCATTATAACCAGGTAATAATGATAATATCCAGGTACATGTATTATTTGCAACCAGATACATATTATTTTATTATGTTCAAGTAGCTTAATATATCTTAATATCCATGATAATTACCAGGATCTGGTTTATTATCTTGATCATTATATATGATCATTCGTTGAATCATTGATAGTAACAAGGATCTATTGTTGTTATCAACCACAATAACGATTCATCGTTATGGTTAACCACAATCATTATTAATAAATGCTATATTTTAAACCACTGATAATCACAACATATTGGTGATGCCCCAGGTCCTTAGTTAAGTTGGATTGTGACTACAACAACTAGGGTTTATGGGTATAACTATATCAAACTAGATGGGTTATAAACGAACGTATAAAAATTGGGGGCCCAACTTGTATGGACACATGTCGTGTTTATTTCGATTTATGGGAAATCTAGAGGACAGCAGGACAGCAATCATAGTTGCAACTGCTAAATGGTCCCTTCGACCAATTCTGGGGTTATTTGTCATTAAGTTTCATTAGTATCATTAGTTGTCAGTCTCGATATTGAAGCACATGTGCGTAGAAACCATGCACTCAACACGAGGAAGTTGTTTTTTCGATTGGAATAGCGGCCATATATATTTATATATATACATATATATATATACATACATAGATATATATATATAGATAGATAGATATACTACGTATAGTCAGTAGACGTGAGTGGATATCAATGGAACTTTGGGGTTCCTGTTTTTCAAGGAGCACAAACATGCTGTAGAGTTGTGATGATACTTTAATCATCATTTGGCTGCGGGTCAACAACCTGTTAGGCTGTGTTTTTTTACACCCCGAAAAAAAACGAACGAACGAACAAACGAACAAACGCATGAACGAACAAACAAACAAACAAACAAACAAACAACATATGACGTGTCAGGGATGTAAACTATACCGCCCAAACTAGCCGTTCTTGGAACAAAAGAAATACCATGCGGCAGCTATTTTGGGATGGTTTTGTCAATGATGCGCAAGCAAATACTGTACCCTGTAACAAAGTGACCTAGGGTTCGAGTTTTCATGAAAGTTTCCCATGGCAGACTTTGGTTCAAATCAAAAACGGTGCTGGTATTGTGCTGTTTTTTCCATGTTTGTCTTTCTGTGTTTTTAAATGATCTTGTTCAATCAGGTGGTTCATGGCTAGCACCTGGCTAAGTTGCATGGGATTTCATGAGCTTCGTGCCCCAGATTCGGTTCAGTCAAACTCACAACGGAAAAAATAGGCAAACAACAATCACTGGCCATCTCAGGAACCGATTTATTGGAGGTACCTACCATATATAAGGCCTATAAAAGGCCTATGTAAGGGAATATTCCCACAAAATATGGCCTTATATGGTACAGTACCTCCATTTTAGGATCCTGAAATTCCCATTGAAACAATAGCAGCAACTACTTGATGTTGCTGATAGACTGATAGCAAACCTTTAGCTCAATGATCAATGGAAATATATTTTGTCAACACAACCATAAGATTTCCCTCTGGTAATTTGACATGACGAACTGGAAAATCACCATTTTCAATAAGTATATAAATCCACTATTTCTATGCCCATTTTCAATAGCTATGTTAAATTACCAGAGGGTATCATCAGTTGTATATCCATGAAATATCCCCTTTTAGATGTTGAACTCCCCAGGTGCGTTTAAACCCCCGGGAAAATCACCATGCCCATTAAATCAATCCGATTCCATCCCCTTGATGGTTGTTTCGTTCCACATTCTGGTGAAATTCATATTCAGGGTCAATTTTTTTTACCACAACATGATGTGGGAATTATATGTTAAAACCACTAAAACCCCTCGTGATGAGACTTTCGAATCAGTGGCATATTGGTTACCCCCACTGGTCTCTATCCCAACGCGATTTTATCAAACTGCTTCGTCAAAAAGGTATCCCCTCAATTATGGCTTATCCTAATCCCCCATGTATGAGGATATCTAATTCATATTCATTTAAGTTATATGTTTATATATATATATATATGTGTCCTATATACTCCATATCAATATCATAGCCACCTCTATACCCCTATATATATAATATTATATATTCCCATCCCCCATTCATATTAAGCACCCCCCAGAAACCGTGGTTTATCACCTCGGGTGTGTAATATTTGAAGGGGGAAGGGATGATCCATGAAAATATCCATCATTAAAATAAAAATATGATCGATATATATATCCATCATATATATATATATATATGGATCATAATTTATTATATGATAGATAGTAAAATATTATATATTATAAATATATCCATCATATGAGTATATAGTAAAATATGCTATATATATATATAATGATAGCAAAATGGATATTTAATTTAATGTAAAAAAACACAAATACAGTGGATGGTTGCGAAATGCTGCATCAGTTGATAGGTGATTATATCTCACTATTTATAGGGTTTCAACTATCCAAGGTGGTGCAGGATTTCGCAACCATCCACAGTATCACACCATAGTTGAGTATATCTGAGTTTTTTGTAGCCTCGTTTTCCCACTCATGAATTCCGTTTTTTTTATGACTATAATGATTGGGTTATACAAACACCAATGAACCAGGTTGTATGTTGAATGGTTCGCCCGATTTCCCCACTGGCACGAGCGCGCCTTTAGCCGCGCTTTGCACGGCCTTCTCTGCCGCCGACGACATCCGATCAATACCTTGCTGCGCCCGTGGCATTGGGATCGTGTCTTTTGGGGTGGTTAAACCGGCAATGCATGTCCTCCAATTAATTTTTGATGTTTTTTTTTTTTTTTAAATACATCTTGGTATATACACTAGACATTTTCAAAGAAATGACCACGAACCATTCCCAAACCCTCATATGTGCAGAAGAGAAATGATATTATGTTGGGTTATATATATATAAGTATGTGGAAGAATGTGGAAGTATGTGTGTAGGATTGTGCATGTACGAGCATGACTGTGCATGTATGTGCATGTATGTGCACAAATGTGCATGTATATGTCTGTTTGTGCATGTATGTGTATGCAATATATATATATATATAGATATGATTAAACAATATTAAACATGTCTGTATATATGTGTAAATGTATGCAAATGTAGGTATGGGTATGCATCTGTATGTATATGTATGTATCTGTATGTATCTGTATGTATCTGTATGTATCTATATGTATCTGTATGTATGTGTATGTATCATTATGTATCTGTATGTATCTGTATGTATCTGTATGTGTCTGTATGTATCTGTATGTATCTGTATGTATCTGTATGTGTCTGTATGTATCTGTATGTACTCATGCTTGTTTAATTGTTTGTTTTATTGTTTGACTGATTTTTGTTTGCTTTGTGCATGTTCATATCTATTTATATTTTTCATCTATCTATTTATCCATCTATCCATCTATCTATCTATCTATCTATCTATGTATCTATCTATGTATCCATGTATCTAGGCATGAATATATGTAGGTGTGGAGGTATGTCTTTATGTCTTTATGCACCTGGTCCCATCCAAAAGGTGGTCGCACCTCACCGCCGTCACCGCACCCTTTGAGAGTCCCCAACAAATGGGGATCACCATCCCGTTGACAACGAGCAAAAACCTCAAAATCCTCTGGTTGTTGTTTGTTTACCCTCTGGTGAACTAACATAGCAATGGAAAATGGCTATAGAAATAGTGGATTTTCCCATTAAGAATGGGTGGATTTTCCATTGCTATGTTAGTTCACCAGAGGGTAAGCTGTTTACAATTCAACATACTTCGTACGGGACAAACGGTTACCACAAAGCATACCACCAAGCAGAATCTTGCTGAGCCGAGATGCTCGTCTCCACATCAATCCCAGCTCCAGCCACCTGCCATGGTAGTGGGTCATAGTGATCTCCATCCACCATTGGGATGGATGGTATCTTGGCCCCTAGGAACCCCAAGGGGAATCCGTAGGAATCCCGTTGGGATATGGAGGGACTTGGAAACCCTTCATATACGTTTAGGTAATTTAACATAGCTATTGAAAATGGCCATTTATAGTGAGTTTTTCCATTAAAAATGGGGATTTTCCATAGTTATGTTAGTTTTACCAGAGGGTACGTTTATTAGAAATAACATCTGCTTTGGTCATGGCGCATATGATAGGACTATGAGAGGGATGCAATAGGGATGCAATAGGGATGCGACACGGTTGTTGATCTACGAGTAGCACGACTTGAGAATGCTGATCAGTCATGATCAGTCATGATCAGTCATGATCAGTCATGATCAGTCATGATCAATTGATTAGACATGATGTATAAATATATATATATACAACTATACAATGATATTGATCAATATGGCCCCAGTCCTGATCAATGATCAATGATTCGATTAATAAATGGTTATATAAAATAGAATACTGATGATAAGGATTATGACATTTAAAATACATTATAATACCATATTATCTACATAAATATATATAAATCATGGTTCTTCATAATGGTTATTAGATCAATTGTCCTGATGCATATCGATCAACGATCATCTCATGATTCTCATGATGGAGATCACAGGACCCACGGGCGTCGGGTTGGTGGGTTTGTAACCAACAAAAACCATGGGATTCCATTCAAACACGACCCTTTTATATCCATGGGATACCATTTGATTGTGCGGAAAAACCATTTGATTGTGCAGAAATAGGATAGTCACTATAGTTCCACATTCTCGGTTAGCTTGCGCCAAATCTTCTTGGAGTATCTGCACGGAAGGTACCGATACAGCCTGAAATTTGGGCAGGCTTGTTTTTTTCGTGGCAGTTTCGACGGTGTTTTCGCCTCAAACTGATCTTAGATACAAGGATACATAAGGATACTATGTTTTTGTTTTTCTTTTATTGAGCTGGGTACCCAGTCGATGCTTGTGGTCAAAAAATCACACACAGACCTAGAGTCTTCACACATCATTCTCATCCATTCACCAATGTCTACTGTAGCCAAGTTCGGATCCTTTTCCCAGATTGACATGAGCAGTGTCAAGAACATATTAGCAAATTCGAAAAAAAAGTGCAGGGATCATGATCATACCCTACAATGGTATTGGATCTTGGTCCATATTCAACCCAAATGGGATTTAGATCTTTAGTTTCCATTCATTTCAGGTACAAAAAAATAAGATGTTCCTAATCGCTCCATAACTTTTGGGTCAAGTGATACTTTGATCCCCCGAAAAAATCCACCAACTTTGGACAAGGGGGCACCTTGTTCAGCGCGGCTGCAGCTGAGTGCTCAAATCCCCTGCCACTGACTATGTGACTGCAGCTGCTTCCCACACATTCCGCTGCATTGCATCCGAAGAATGCCTCAATGATTTGCTTTTTTTTGGGAAAAGCCGGACAGGAAAACATGGATACCCTCAGGTAAACTCGCAAAAAGCATGGACAATTACATTTGTTTAAGCAAAATCAACAATAAATATCCATAAATGATATATAAATGGGTCTTTTTCAATAGCAAACTGTGAAGATTACCAGAGGCTCAAATTCATTGGACGACTCGAAAAAAGATGGACTTCGTCGGGAAGGATGACATCCTGAAATGGAAAATAAAATTAATTTGAAACCACCAGCCAGGATATAATACCCATAGGATCCATTTGGGGTATATGAATGGTAAATGTTACCATATATAGCATACATGGATCCTACGGGATATGTAAATATATGTAATATCATAATTATATGTAGAATTATGTAGATATAATGTGATGTGATGTTGTTTTTTCAAGCACGCATGTGCATTATTTAAACGAATTTAAACGACACATATCCTATAAGCCACTATCCACTGTCAGTTGCTACAATCGCAAGGTCATTTGGCGCTGTGATGGGAATGGATGGGATTACTGAGTTTTTTCCGTCACATTCCGCAGGCTGAATTCATCTATACTGAAAGCTACGAGTTCGCTAGATGGAAACCAACTCTTGTCACTGGATTGTCCGCAGACCCTCTGTCTTAACCATAGGTTGAACATGGTCAAACAAGACGCCCAAACCAATGGTTTGGCAGAGAGACTCGTTTATACAATCTATACATGTACAGTATGCAATCTGCACATGGGTAAACAATTGATACTCCTCATGTCTTTTGCAGAATGAATACTGTTCTCCTCCATTTTATAGCTCAACAATCACGACCAATCATCCATTCACCGAGGTTGACTGACAATACTTCAACCTGCAAATGGGACTGCCACAGTCAGGTAGATCCAAATTTCACCATTAAGACATATCAAGACTGGACCTAGGGTTTATCAAATAGGCCGGCAATGGAGCACAAAAATCAACAAAAACACACCAGCCTTTGCGGGGCTGACAAAAGGTGAACTGAACCCGGGTCGATATCATTTCGGGGACATCTTAGAACGTACTCCATGCGAGCACGTTCTGGGCTATGGTAATGACATGTTACGAAAGATGACACACACACGTCTATTTGGAGGATCACACTTAGTAACGGGTGAATGACTCTGGTTAGTAGATCTCAGATTCGCGAGGTGGCAATGCACTCAGTGACGATTCGTGGGGATATCCTGCAAGTATTGTAGGACCAAATCAACTTCCAGCTATAAGTGGATATGTTGCGCCATAGTTATAGGTGTCCAATATCCCAATTTGTGGAGGTTATCACCGTACTTATAACCAAAAAAAACATTATGAAGCATTATCCATTCTGAACCATTATTAACCCAATATTAAGCATCATTGCAGTAACCGCTATTGACCCATACTGACCCATATATCATATTAACTTATGTTGACCCATATAGTCACCATGAATCCACCCATCAGCCGGAGCTCCTCAAATCCTTTGCTCACATGTCGAATCGGAAAGCCTTTTGACCTGGTAAGTGGGAATCGGATTCAATAAGGAAATTGGATGAATCCATTATATATATATATATGGCAGTGCAAAACCTTGTACCCCTGGTGAACATCAAAAAAGCTGGTAAATGGATGTTCATTCCCCTAAAAATGGTATTAATAGGTATTGATCCATACCCATATATATATATATATCCACTATATACTTATGTATAACTGTATAAAATATATGTGCATTATTGTGCATCTCTCATGTATGCCTTGAAAAATCACTGCAGCTTTCAAGAATTCGCACCTGGAGTCGCAAATCAAATATGCTTTCCTCGGCTCGGGCTCGTGGGCGGCTGTCATATATTCATTAGTGCATGATAATACGTATATGTGAGGTGAATATATTATAGAGATACAGTGGGCGCCTATCATGCATTATGTGATAATGACATTATCATACTTATATTATCTTGTATACATTATATACTATTATAAACTGTATGATGTATATTATGTATCTCTATATCTGATCTAAGTATATTTATTATGCATAAAAAGAAACATGAATGTAATGTAATCATGCATATATATATATATACATACAATTGTATACAAACATGTTTGTATGTATCTGGGTAAATTAAAATATTTCACTCATCTGAATAGTGCGGCCATTTGGGGATGATTTCCCGAATCCTAACCATGATTCCAGTGAGGGAGAACAGGGTTCGCTCGTTATAATTTACCCAGGGACAGGCGATTCACAAAAAACCAGCGGAAAGCTGCGAGCGATTCTCAACCTTTAACAAACAACTGAACCATGCAACTATACACATTTTTGTATATAGCAAGATTATATCATGGCTATTAATTATATATATACATGTATATTCATGATGAACTGATAGCTATACATAACATACAGATTATATACAGATTATATATATATGTACAGATTTACAAGAATGTATACCAGTAATATGTTCACAATTCCTTCAGCCAACTTTGATCACTTTGATCCATCCCCTCCGCGCCATCGCCAAGGTTCTCAGTGGAAATCGCTGCCTGCCCGAGTTCTTCGGAGCTATATCTCATATAGACATATGTATATATATATATATTATCCATGTATCTATATATCTATGTACATCTATGTATTTGTATCTACAAATACATACGCACATATACTGAATAGATAAATATATATATATATATATCACACATATGCATAATCTAATCAAATCAGTTCAAATTACATGTATGTACACACACATATATATATATACATATACATGTGTAGTATACACTTCATCACACGCCGAAAATCACACAAACAGTGGGAATATCAGGGGACAGCTAGGTCCACCTAGGTATGCAATCTAAAACAACCACTACATATGAGTCTACAACTGACGAAGGTCAAAGAAATACAGACAAGGGCATCAACCATGTGGATATACAGAATGGGATGGAACCAACAAACATAAAACCAATCGACCATCTTCAGATCTGTGGCCGGCAATTCCACGGAATCACCCAGCTCCACGTGTTGGACGTGTTGGCCGGCTTCCAGAGGTAAAAGGGAAGAAATCAAGATGCTTGGTGGCTTCATGCCCACTACCCTCTGGTAAACTAACATAGCTATTGAAAATGGCCATAGAAATAGTGGATTTTCCCATTAAAAAAAATGATTTTCCATAGCTATGTTAAATTACCAGAGGGTATACAATATGAAAGTCACTTGGGATCTAAGTTGGATGAAACATGGGCAAATTACTGAAAATTGGCCTCCCCATCCATAATCCATGGTTTATCACCATTCCCCGCAAACCCGCACATCATATCATTGTCCGACATCTATAATACATATATATATATATGTATGTATATATATATATATGTGTAAAAAAATGTAAACATATATAAATAAACAATAAATACATAAATAAATAAATAAAAATGAATAAATGTACTTTTTTAAAAAAAAATATGCATTTTTTTGTACATTCCCATGACATCCTCATGTATGGTTTAACCAAAACAAACACCACGAACTCGTGGGTCACCCCCCGACAACTTCCCGGACCTCGGAAACGCTCCGTTTGGTCCGGGCATCGCGTTGCGCGATGCGACTGTCTCTCTTCACCGCCAAACGCAGCATTCGAACACCTGGGGAATCCATGCAGCGTTGGGTGTAAAACTTGGAGGACGTTTGGTAGGAAAATCAGAAACTTTCTATCCCATATGCTCCATGTATGGTATATTAACCTAGATTTGGGTGATTTTTAGGGAAAATGTTGGTAAATAATGTAAATATACCATACATGGAGCATATGGGTATGAATTCTATGTTCGCCAAAAACCATGAGTATTTCTCCTCGATCGTTAAAAAACCTTCCAAAACCACCGTTCGAAGACCGTCAAACACAAATATGAAGCCATTATCAGATGTATATAATCTATACACAGTATTTAAAATTATTTAGCATAAACAACATATGCACCCTACATAAGAAACGATGTATATCTCTATTATATTTTCAACAATAGTGCACTTTTTAAACAAACCATAACAAACCAAAGATATTGGGAGATTCCTCAACTTGGATGACTATCCCGGCAGTTGCAATTGGCGTGTCTTGTCAACCGCACATTTCTCAGTTGATTAGGATCATACCGTGTACCTGATGCTATGTGATATTGTGAGGATGTACATGTATTAAAATATGAGAATTGGCAGAGTTGACTAATCAATCAATATAATATAATAATATTAATACTATATAATCAATAAATTTGCATGATATTTACCCGAAAACAATAACATACAAAACATACAATGTGATATATAAAGTAGCATCAACATGCCTAAACTAGCTACTCAAATGGGAGCTCCCAATTCGTACATGGGGTGGTTATTGCAATGTAACTCATTCCATGCAAGCACATGGACCCCAAATGTCACGTACTTACTTGGAATTGAAACTCTGCCCAACAAGAGCAATCATCTGAAATCCCTTCACTGCAAATATCTTCTTGCAAACCCCATCTGTGTTTTGCCATGTTTTCTCAGACGACTAGTGCAATATTGTCCTAACTCCACAGCCCCTTCACAGTTCCAGTGACACCTTCCGGATCCAACTGACATCCAAATGCGACGCTGAGTGGCTTGTCTGGCGGCTGGCTAACAGTGTCAGCCGGCTGCCACGTTAGCCCCTCCACCGTTAGCCAAAACGGCCGCCGGTAATCTGAATCCACATCGACTGCAGGGATGCTGATACCAACATTGACGGCTCATGGTGGCTCATATCCAATACCCTCCAGTAAATTAAGAGTTCGACCCTGGCATTCATCGGGGTTGGAAGACCAATGAAACCACTATAAATGGGTGAATTTCAGGGTCGAACTGTGAATTTACCAGAGGGTAACATCCCAGAACCAACATTATAAGATAGGGATTGCATCTTGAATCGTGTTGAATCTACTTCCATTTCGCAACCTCAACACACTGTCAGAATGTCGTTGATGATAGGTGCCCCATGACGTCATGGGGGTACCAGCAGTCATCATCCAGTCATATCGGATTTTGGGGATCCAGAAAAAATATATCCCTTCACCCATGATCAATAGACCTCCAGTTAAAAAAATGCAGCCATTTCACGTTTACATCACTAGTCTGAAGAAACAGTTGGTGTTATTGCATGGCTTAACAAATATGAACATAAATAGTGATTTATAACTGGTTGGTGGTTTTAACCCCTCCGACAAATATTGGTCAATGGGAAGGATTATCCCATATATTATGGAAAATAAAAAATGTTTGAAACCAGCAACCAGTTACTCTACAGTAGGACTGGAAATTAGGATCAAGTTCCATTTTCCATGATACATCCTATTTTCCAAACTAGGACTGTTCCATTCCATTTTCCAAGATTTTCCATGATAAAAGATAATCATTTACATTGATTTACATAAGCCAATCGTGATTCCCTACAGGTGATAGAAAAGCCGCATCATTTCGCGTTTCGCTAAGACGATCTAATTCGAAATGGCTGGTTGGTGGTTGAGCCTAGCCCTGCCCTCTGAAAAATGATGGACAGTCCTCGTCAGGCCAGGGCTGATGAACTTCCCAAGATGATGGGAACAAAAAGTCCAGCCATGTACCAGTCACCACCAACCAGTTAGGGTATCCCATAGGATCCATGTATGGTATATTTACCTACAAAACTGGGTCATTTATGGGGTAAATGTTGGTAAATATTCCATACATGGATCCTATGGGTATGGTTGAAGCCAGTGGCATTCTCATGGTTCTCATGGTTCGACAATTTGAGCGAGACATGTTCTGAATGGCGCAAAAAACCCAACTTACAAAATATGTTTAAATGTTTAATTAAACGCATTCATGCATAAATGCCCTGTCACACACGACCGGTGAGAACACCCCTCAAGCAGCGGAACGCTTGAACTCGCGTTCCCCCGGGCAGCAGGCTGCTGATCTTCATCGTTGACGGTCGTGGTGGTATCAAATATGATCACTCACACTGGACCTTACACAACCACCAGCAATCAGTCTATGTAGTCTAGATCGCAATCCGACCTCTCTCTCCATCAACACCAGTTTACCTATTTATAAACCCACTTACCTATTGTAAATCAACTATCAATCACACTCTTGATGCCTCTTATCTCCCTTCACTCATGGTATACGCATCATCACCGGACTCCGACAAGGCACTTGCCCATCATGCCCTTCATCGGCTTTCCTTTGCCCATGGCCTTCCCTTTCCCCTTCTGCAAGCCCACAGCGGCTGGCGCCGGGGGCACCGCGGCCTATGGTGAAAGCATGGTGAAATTGGGTGGGCTATTTTTTAAAGGAGGTATACATAGTTATACATCTACTGTCTACTGTTTAACCCCTACAAAAGCTGATATGAATTCAATATAATTCAATGAATGGCACGAATGGGAATCCGAAATAGACTGGAAATATGTGCTAAATCTGCAATTCACATCTTTTGAAGTGCCCTGTGAAGGTCTAACTTGAAGGTCCAGCTCATGACTAGTACCATGAAACACTTGAGCTTCAGATTTCAGGATGCTTTTCCAATGTTTCCATCATGCTTTGAAAAACAGGGATGTCAACCCCCTTAGAGAAACAAACTCTTCGAAGACACAGGGCCCCATGGGGGGATCCAGAACTGGGGGAATGTCCAAAAAAAGACCAGCGACCATTGCCCTCCGGGAATGGAACGTGGCAATGGACAAATCTTCAAAAAATATTATATATATATATGTTCTATAGATGTTCTATAGATGTTCTATAGATTTTCTACAGATGTTCTATAGATGTTCTATAGATTTTCTATAGATGTTCTATAGATGTTCTATAGATTTTCTATAGATGTTCTATAGATGTTCTATAGATTTTCTATATATGTTCTATAGATATTCTATAGATTTTCTATAGATGTTCTATAGATGTTCTATAGATTTTCTATAGATGTTCTATAGATGTTCTATAGATTTTCTATAGATGTTCTATAGATTTTCTATAGATCGATCTTTATAGTTGATTCTCCCATGAAAACCTCCATCCACAGATGTCGCGTTGCCACGATTCTCAGAGGGTACCCTCACCCGCGGCAAAGCCAAGGCTCTGGGACCGGAGCTGGCGCAGGATTGTGGGACAAGAACCTTGGCCATCGAGAAACATGAACTGGTTGGTGGTGCAATAACCATCTGAAAAAATGATGGAGTTCGTCAATGGGAAGGATGACATCCCATATACCCTCTGGTGAACTAACATAGCAATGGAAAATCACCATTCTTAATGGGAAAATCCACTATAAATAGCCATTTTCCATTGCTTTGTTAGTTCACCAGAGGGTAATTATTATGGAAAACAAAACATGTTTGAAACCACCAACCAGTGAACCGAACAGCGGCAACACATTGGGGACTATAGCAGATCCCAGAGTCGAAGAGTTGGAAACCTGGGATGTGGAGAACACATCAACTATACCAACCATCCTGGACATACTGTTCTATCTTTTTGGTGCTTTACTGTAGTAGCAATGATGGCTTTCTATGTGGTGACACATGTAGCAAGTTGTTGTTGTTGTTGTTGGGAAAGATCCTTCATTTCTCGTCACGCCGGTTGGGCACATGGATTCAATCTCAATGTGAAAATGCAACCCTCTAGGGATAGAATGGATGGAAACCACACAAAAACATGGTCTGAACATTGTGTACCCCTTTTGGGGCACGGGTTTCCAACATCGCTTTTCCCATGAACGTTGCCAGTTTTTGTTCGGCATCACAAATTCTTGGACAAATCTGTTTATTGGGTATGGATATGTATAGATTATATAGTTTGATGTAGTTAGTTGTGATATACATCATTATATATATATATATCTATGCGGTCTATGCATAGACATAAATCCTATATCATCCCATATGATTCATGATCATTATTATTTCATCATATCCGCTGGTAAATTCCAGTAAACACGTCCATCTATGTTGTAATTGTATACCGTAGCCATGAACCTGTGGGTGGAAGAAATGCTGCATCAGTTGGGTTTTTCAATCAACTATCAATGGGTGCAGGATTTCGCAACCATCCACAGTGAATCATGGGTTAATATAGATGGCTACATATTTATATAATGGATTTTAATGGAACAATCACCCACATTTATACCTGTGTTAATTAATGTTAATTATATCTAATGATCTTCATGCAACGATAACCCCATTTCTAACCATTCATGTGGTATTTTGGGCTACCAAAACCCAGCGACTTCGACGCAGCGAGCAGCTTCAATCGCGCGGTTTCATCTCCGGCATCGATGCGACGCTTTCGCTCCTTTCGACTTTCCTGGAGCCCGGCACGGCACGGAAGATGGAACTGGTGGTTTAAACAACGTGATCATAGAAAAACAACTGATGATATAACGTAAGAAACCATAATTCCTAAACTATGGTGGTTATATTATGTTATATTCCTATTACTGTTGTAGTCATAATGAACCTAGTTTGTTTTTTCGGGAGAACTAGGAATGTTGATCAACGACAATGACTGCACTTGGTTTATGGTGAAACACCCTAAAAGTACGCTCATCATAGTGGATCATCAGGAAACATAGCAACCAAGGACTCTGGTCATGGGTTTTCATGTTTTTAAATGTATTTAATGTATTGTATTGTTCCATAGCTGTTTCACTTTTCAGTTGGTAAAACAACTATTGAATTATTGATATCTGTATTATGGATTTTCATGCTATGCCAAGATCATCTAAGAGCCCATCCCCATCCCCATTCCTCCAAAAACACCACTCCTCGGTGCATTTGACCAAAATGTCCAGGGACTCCGCGTCCTCCAAAACTTTGGTGAACATCTTAGTCTCCTGCAAGCGCCAAAAAAAATTGGCCCTGGCCAATGCTGCAAGTCACTTGGTTTCATGAAATCCTCGTTGTGTTACCCATATGCTTCATGTATGGTATATGAACCTACATTTGGGTGATTTTTAGGGAAAATGTTAGTAAATATACGATCAATTCCCACCATTTGCCCCGCGTCTGGAAGAGTTTGACGGGATCATTATCATCATTATCGTCAACATCATTATGATTTACATCATCATCATCATCATCAACATCATTGGTATGATCATCGTCTTCTTCTAACAGAATCCTTGAAAATTGGTTCAAAATGCACAGTTCCAGCACTCTTGGTTGCAGTAACAGTTCAAACAGAATCCTAACGAACCGTTGCAAAATGCACAGTTCCAGCGACTTGTTAGAACAAACAGCTCTAACAGAATCCTAGCAAATTGCTGCAAAATGCACCCACCCCAACCCACCTTAAACCATGATAATTCGATCATCTTGGGCGCAGCATCAAAATCTTGAATGAGCGTTACCATCGCCCCATCCAACCCCACCCCACTGATGCAGCATCAAAGTCTTGTGCAAAGTTGGGTGAGCGTTAGCAGCATCCCCCCACCCCACCCCATGGCATCGGCATCTTGTGCAAGGTCGAGGGAGCGTTTACATCCCCACCCCACCCCACCCCATGTGAGCGTAGCATCAACATCTTGTGACGGGTCGAGGGAACGTGGTCGAAGGAACGTTAACATCTCACCCCACCACACCCCATGTGAGCATAACATCAACATCTTGCGCAAGGTCGAGGGAACATGGTCGAAGGAACGTTAAAACATCCCCACCCCACCCCATGTGATCGTAGCATCAACATCTTGCGCAAGGTCGAGGGAACATGGTCGAAGGAACGTTATAACATCCCCACCCCACCCCATGTGAGCGTAGCATCAACATCTTGTGCAGGGAACGTGGTCGAAGGAACGTTAACATCTCACCCCACCACACCCCATGTGAGCATAACATCAACATCTTGCGCAAGGTCGAGGGAACATGGTCGAAGGAACGTTAAAACATCCCCACCCCACCCCATGTGATCGTAGCATCAACATCTTGCGCAAGGTCGAGGGAACATGGTCGAAGGAACGTTATAACATCCCCACCCCACCCCATGTGAGCGTAGCATCAACATCTTGTGCAAGGTCGAGGGAACGTGGCCGAGGGAACGTGAACATCCCCACCCACCCCGCCACACCCCATGTGAGCGTAGCATCAACATCTTGTGCAAGGTCGAGGGAACGTGGCCGAGGGAACGTGAACATCCCCACCTGCACCCCGCTCCATGTGAGCGTAGCATCAACATCTTGCGCATGGTCGAGGGAACATGGCCGAAGGAACGTTAACATCCCCACCCCACTCTATTCCACCCCACCCCATCCTATCCCATGTAAACTGAGGGGCAAATGGTGGGCGTTGCGTCTAAATATACCATACATGGAGCATACGGGTTATAATAAATCAACTTGTTGACTATTTTGATTCAAGGATATTCAAGGCTCAGTAATCCCCTGGCTGGCTAAAGGAACCTGCTGCCGTAACAGAGGTGCCCTCGGATCTTGTCGCTTACGAATGGTGTTTTTTTAAATGTGGTATTTGAACATGAGGTATTAGCCCCGCAAAAGGCCATTCAAATTCACTTAGACAGGGATAGTGATGATGCACCATTGCTGCACTTTTTGAGACAAACCTAGTTTGTTTGCTTTTACTTTAATTCAATGCGAATGGTCCAGGCTAACAAGAATCATCATCTCACGGTCAATCCACAGTCAAATGTTCAGATGTTTCTGTGTATGAATTGAGCATCTCGATATTGGATTGAACATTATTGAAAACATAAACACCTGGTTGGTGGTTTCAACCCCTCTGAAAAATATTAGTCAATGGGAAGGATTATCCCATCTCATATATTATGGAACATAAAAAAATCATGTTTGAAACCACCAACCAGACAACATCTGAGACCCAATGGGTTCACTGATTCCGAACTCAAACCCAAATCAGATTGAAGCAGCACATTGGCATCGTGGACATCCACAAATAGGCGCTACATATATCAAAATTCATCTACTACCCATTTTAGACCGTCTTGAGATTGAAATTGATGTCATGCTGCTTCAAAATCTAGTGCGCTTGGTCGGGTTTCCAATGGTTCAAAAAATGGGCGTGGTTGGGTTCTTGCTTAAATTTGTGCATTGATGGTGGCTTAATTCTCATGTACTATGTTCAATCCCCCAAATTCTGCGGGTTGATCTCAAATTTTCTTAGAATCCCCAATTTCAGCCGGTGACACCATGACTGCTCTTAGATCCCTGCATCTTTTTATGGCTGGATGTGCCACTTCCTCCTTTCATCGAAAAGAAAATGACACATATGAAATGTGATGATATACACAAACCAAACATAGATAATCTAAGAATTGGATATATCCTCAAAAAACTGTTGCGCAACGGGATGTTTCATCAAAATCATAATCATCATTCCCGCCTCAGCCCCAATTTATATTATGGCACTGGTTTTACCACATTATTCAGATCCAATCCTCATCATGTCCAGATATATGACCATGAAATTCCTCTGAAATCCATTGTATTCAACTGGAAAATCGCCCAATTCTTTCGAACAAAGCAATTTTGATCCCGAAAATGTAAAAAACCTCATCATTTGATTGATGTTATAAAATGCGGAGTTCATCCAAATATCATGAATAAACATGTTTGTTCACTCAATATGTTTAAAACAAATCACTGGTCAGCTACCCGCTGGTGATTTAACGTAGACATGGAACATACTATATTCCTAATAGGTACATCTATAAGGGCATGTTCTACAGATATATTCGATTCATTACATTAGATTTCTGGAGGGGTAATATCCAATTCCCTATGTTGTCATCTCGATCGCTCCAGATCCCTTCCAAGAAACGCCTCATCAATCGCCACAGTGTCCTGCAAAGATCGGCAATTTCCATGTGTTTGGGCCATGTCTTGAGTATCAACACATGGTAGGCCGAGCAATTTAACAACCAAAGATGGGATGCATGCTGTTTTGTTTTTTGGATTTGAATGTCAACGTACTGTGATTAAGGAAAAACATGAGGATGGTTTCAAATGTGATCCCCAAATAAAGCATCAAAACCAACCGAACTGATAGTTGAAGGACCAGATGTGTCGCAGAATTCCACATGGTGTGAAGCCATCCCCAATTGGGATGTGTGAAATTGTCATAAGATTAAACATTCTCAGCCTATGAGTCAAAATTGTGTATGGAACGTTCCGCAGTGTTCCGGACGTATGGAACGAAGGGGCTGCATAACTGGTCTTGTTCCGGACCTTTGGAGTGTGATGAAATACTATACAAAAGTAAATATGTATATAATATAATATATATATATATATGTATGCCAGATACTGTCAATCTGTCATATACATCTCAAGGATATGCAGGTTAAAGCTACTCATGCGAGCTGCCGCTCATTTTCGCTTCTCATCTGCACGACATCCTTGTTGTAGACCTGTTCAACGCAGGTTTGCCTTGGATGGCTAGTGCTCGTGCACTACCTACAGGACACAACCGGTAGCCAGCGTCACCCACTGGCTACCATATGAAGCTGTCCACTCAGCTTCAGACCTCTCACGCAGGTCCCACGTCCTACTCTTAAAACTCAGAGGTCCCCATGGGGTCCCCGCGTAGCAAGACTCTAGGCTCCCATAAGTCGGGGCTTGTAGGAGCAATTGCCTTCGAAAGCGCAAAGGCTCCATGCAGTGCGGGTTCAGCCAATACCCCATAGCCCACGCGCAAAGGATGGCTTAGGAGCAGTCTAATTATGTGAGAGCCTGCCGCGTAACCGGGGAGTGGGTCAGGGGGTGGTACATGGAACAGGGTCTGGAACGAAACGGCCCACTCCAGCACAGCACTGCCACCGCAGCACATCTTTATCAAAATTGTCAGTTTGGGGCGAGAGTAGCGCAGCAATCAATTCTTAGACTGCCAGCTGACAGCAGCCAAGCGCATCTCTACCATCAAACACCACAGCGCCACAGCGGGCAGCAACTGTAAGTGGTGCAGGCGCAGACCTACCACAGGTTGAGAGGGAGGGAAGGTCACAAGCAATCCATTCTTAGACTGCTAACTGGCAGCAGCCAAGCACATCCCACCGGTCTTGCTGTTTAAGCGGAAAATCATCCAAGACATTCCACAGGAATCGACCCCCCCCCATGGCGTCTCGAACAAATGGTCGCTGCTCACCAGCCTTGATGAGATTCAGCAGCTCAGGCACATCGCTGAGGCTGAACTGCTTGGTGTTGATGGCCTTCTTGAAGTATTTTTCTGAGCCGCGGAGAATCATGGGATAAAATAGAGGATTTCATGGGGTTTCATGGATATGCATATATATATATATATATGCGTGTTCTTTCACCATCTGTTTGTTGGTTCATATCCACGAAACATAACATTCATTACTGTAAAGCCCATGGGATTTGATGCTTTCTTTTCCTCTGGGTGCTGGATGGTTTTGAGGCAAGGTGGTAGGACCGTAGGATGTGAGCACCGGTTTAGAATTTGGATCATCAATGCCATCAGTGATCCCAGTGATCAACGCTTGTTGTGGATGGTTTATTGGGTGGGGCCAACGGGCGAACGGGCCAACTTGGCAGCTAAGTTTATAACGATAATTGGTGTTTATGGAACCTATAGCTTATTATAACTTATAGATAAAACATCTTATAACCATATATAACCATAGTTAGATGGGTTTATAAGCCAACTTACCCTCTGGTAAACTAACATAGCTATTGAAAATTGCTATTTGTAGTGGATTTACCCATTAAAATTGTGATTTTCCATCGTTGCGTATAGCAAATAATAGGCCGGTCTCCATTGGTCAAAAAAAAAATGGTCGCCGAGTCGCGATAGTAGAACGCCAAGTGGGCCTCAGGAATGGCTGTCCTGTCTTCATCGTTCACATCCTGTCAAAATCTGGAGATCCAACTGGCCAAACTATGGGGATACCCTCTGGTAAACATACAAAAAACTATGGAAAATCACCATTTTTAATGGGTAAATGAACTATAAATAGCAAATTTGAATAGCTATGTTAAATTACATGTCCCAACATGATTGTGAAATATCATCATTTGTGTGGATCAAAATCATAAAATGTATCAAATATTAGATCGCCCCCAGATGGTGGGATGGTGTTCTAGAATCTAGAAACCTGGCAATTTTCTGCGTCACTGACTACCCCAAATGTCTTGACCCATCCCCAAATGTGCCATGGTCAAGTTACATGATGGTTATCGCACCATCATTGTGGAAACCCAACATAATGGATATATTACATTGTACACTCTTGTAAACTAACATAGCCATGGAACATCACCATATCAAGAGGTACATAAATCAAGTATAAGAAGTATCAATGGGCCGTGGCTTCCTTCATACGTAACAATATTACCGAAGGGTAATCCCTATTCATGGGCTTCAAACAATGTCATAAACCACCATCCCCCAGTCATCACCATAAATATATGACTGGTATAGTATAACCATGCCCAGTCATGGCTAGTTTATGGCATTGTTTTAACCACAATATTGTGATATTATGTTCATTCCCCAGGAACCTGAATCACTTATCCCCGGGTTCCAGAACTTGTCTGTGATAGTGGAGGCTGTCCGTGAGGGATGAACAAAGTGGAGTCAAAATGAGTCAAACAGATTTGTCCAATGATGTTCTCAATGAAGAAACCAATATTGGCACAATAAAATTGTCAATTATTAGCAATTTTATTGGCTAATGAATTCAAGTCATAATTTGTCAAGTTATGAACAAATATGTATATATACATATATATATATGCCAATAATTCTTGGTAACCACAGGCACAAAACAATTCTGTTTGGGGCGTCTTTTGAAAAAAAGCAGTCGATCCTGTGACAAATCCTGTGCGTTGAAGTGGGTCCTTGGTTTTCATGTGCATCTTCTTGACAATGGTATACCGACATTGTTCTTTGTTGGCACCATTTCCATCCCCTTTGGAGACCCGTTGTTGTGGAAAGCCATTCTTGGAGACATATCTACAATTTTTCCACGGCCACCCATATTTACTAGATGACATTACAACATTTCATCTATTTGGGGATCTCTGGGCAAAATTATCCCGATCCCAAAACACAGATGCTAACTGGTACTTTCAGAAACCTTGAAATACCCTGAACAATTCTTTAAAACCCATTTAAGTCATTTAAGTAGAGATGCAAAAAAACATGTTTGAAACTACAAACTCCTCGTCTATTGCGTTGCTTCAAAAGCACCACCACGCCAGGCTATGTCGTCCTTGATGAAGGCATCTTGCAGCAAGAAGAACTCGTAGCGCAACTGCAGCATCGCCCAGTCCTGGAAGAGATGGTCAGCGAGAAAAATCGGACGATGCTATGCGAGGTTCGTGAAATGAAACCATCAATCACATCTAAACTTATCTATACATACATATCAATAATTATCAATACTAGAGATATCTATAATATTCTACAATCAATGTCTATATCTATACAATGCTATACATATCTGCAATTGTAATTATCTATACTTGCCTGGTGCATGTTCATGTTATTTTCATGGACATCTTCGCCTCACCAGCCACCCGCCATCTCTTGGCCTCCGCTTCAAAGTTGGAGTAGAGAGGTTCACCTCCGCCGATGTCGTTGATGTCCTGTAAGGACCCATCAAAGGTGATGGTGGTGGGCTGAAATGGCAGTTAATAACCCTTTTATCCATTTATGGAATGTATATATATATATATATAGACAAATATATATATATATATGACTCAATTATTTCATTTATACCCAGTCAAAATTGGAAAATTGCTATTTCGTGTTTTTTTTACTGACAGTCTTTGGACAGATGTGCCAGAAAGCTATGCCAACCCGGGATGGTGCAGAAAACAAACAACCCTACGTCCATTTGGAGGTTTCAAACGAGTCATGGGGGTAACCTAGTTATCATCCATTTATAGATAAGGGCTATTGGGGATCCCCCCATGACTATGGAGTTCCCCCCATGAAAGCGTCCTCTGAACATGGCCATCATCGACTATGCTATGTACATTCCCCTGTTATGTTCCAATAATCTCCTAAGGTGCAGGTGAGCAAATGTACTCATATACAGTATATCTATAAATAGATAGAGATGTAGATATAGATATACTGCAGCACTATACACAAAAAACATATATATATATATTTAGGCAAATACAACATTATCTCACACACATGTACTTTTTATAATTTATAAATCATTGATTCATACCCCCCTCCAAAAAAAAAGGCCTCGACGGAGAAGATATCAACAGCGCCTCCCTCCTGGAGTTTCAAGGAGGATATCAATAAAGTTGATATATAGGTTACTTATTGCAGTTTATATTCATGAGCTGATTGTAAATGATTCTAATTATCATTGAAGTTACGATTATCTCGTGCTCAGAATGAGGGTGTGGTAAAGTATTTTCTGAATAAAACACGTTACTATCAACCATGCATTTTGGCAATATACAGAATAATCATCCATATACATGTGAAATGCTATTGATTGCTATTGTGATTATCAACCATTAACAAAAAGGGATGTTCACGTGATTTTCTATGAACACCATCCCCTGTGTGTAGGGCGCTACGCGTTTCAAGAAAGCATCAGAAACCGCAGCTCCGGATCTCCTGAGACCGGCAAGCTGGTTAGATCAGTAGATATCCCTATGTAATAAACGACCTAGATAACGCCACTTCTTAGATACCCAACAAAAAACTTAGCCTGCAACACCTATTAAAAAGTCTTGGCTGTTTAGTAGATATCCCGATCTCTCCATTCATAGCAAAAGGTTTAAGTATGTCAAAGTACTAAATGATCCATTCAAGGTTTACCAAGAACTTATAGTGTCCCCCCAAAAATATGAATAAGTTATGATCACTAATTGAGTTTTTGGGATTTTACTTGGCATCTGTTTGGGGAAGATGCCATATCCACTGCAGTGGGTTCTTTGACCCATTCCGTCCCAAAAAAGGCTGCAGCAATGCACCAAGTGCACCAAGATCGATCAGAAACGCTGCAAACATGCCCAACTTAAGCGAAATCCCATGTTCAGTACCATTAAATATGATGAAATGTCACTTTTTATCACAATGAATTTTTGGGACTTTTTTGTGAACAAAGCATTTTCTCTTTGCATGGGGATCAAAAAGAGGTCACCAGTGCCTCGGCCTGCGAAAAAAACCTTAAGGACAATGGATTAACACACCTTCCTTAAGGGGATTTCATCCCCAATCATACATATATATATATATAAAGTGGTTAATAATGAGAATAATGACAATAATGACAGTTTAGTGGTGCTAAAATTGAAATCGGATCAAACTCATTTCGGGGCTTAGCTAAATATTTGAAGCTGAAAATGCAGCACAGTGCAAAACCTTTATCAGTCTTGAATCTTTACAGTAACTGATCTGATTCCTGGCTTAGGGATTTTGCGATGATAGATCATCACCATCCCCATTGTGATCCAAGAGGTTCATCTAGCACAAAAACACATCTAATAGCGTATTGTTGATAAATGTTAGTAGATGTGAATCAATGTTAATCAATGTTAGTACATGGCAAGAACTTACGAAGCTCTTACGAGTTGTTCTCTGTGCTTAAGACTCATCCTTCATTGCTGGCTCCACAGACCTTTCGGGTCTGGGATAGAAAAGGATATATATATATATATAATGTATATATGATCAACAGTAACCATATAACTATATCATAGTATACGAGCATTAACAATATATAAATATATAACTATATATCATACTATATCATATCCATCCAATTTTTGCGGAGCAGATGCAGCTTCAATATATGTGAACACCTCCCACACCACTGATATTCGAAGCTCAAACCATTAGACCCCCAAAATGCTGACCTACTTTACTGTACCAAGCCCTAAACAATAGGTTTCGACCTCAACTGAACGTTGTTGCTGACCATGGAAATCCTACAAACTGGTTTAAAATTTAATGTTCCCTACTTGAAGGCCAGAAATTCCAAACCTTCCTTAAGGGGATTTCATCCCCATGTTCAATAATTCTCATAGATACTATCTGGAGGTTTCCTAAGTCATGGAGGTGCCACCAAATTGTCCAAGTCATGGATGAACATGATTTTAGTATTGAAACACATTGAAACAACATAAAACAAAACCCCAGCTTTAATTGAAATCCTTGGTGACTTGGGGATCCCACATTCATAGAAATCATATGTTCACTATTGTCACTTTTTTTACCACTATATACTAACCATTATCAACCATTATCAACCATTATTAAACATTATTAACCATTATTAAACATTATTAAACATTATTAAACATTATTAACAAGTATTAAACATTATTAACCATTACTAACCATTATTAACCATTATTAACCATTATCAGCCATTACTAACCATTATTAACCATTATCAACCATTATGACAATTATCAACCAGTATTAACCATTGTTAACCATTATCAGCCATTACCAACCATTATTAGCCCATTATTAACCATTGTTAACAATTATTAACCATTATTAACCATTCCTAACCATTGTTAACCAGTATGACCATTATCAACCATTATTAACCATTATTAGCCATTATTATGCAACCATTACTAACCATTATCAACCATTATGACCATTATCAGCCCATTATTAACCATTATGAACCATTATTGGGTCCACATTAAACCATGGATATCCATCAGGAATCCCCACATCTTTCGACGTCCCATGTGGCACCTTGGAGCCGTCCTTCTTCCCACCCGACTTCCAGGCCTTCGACCATCGGGATGTTTCCATCCCCAGGGGTCTCACGAAATGCTGGAAAAACCTGGATGATTTACGCATCAATAGCAGGGATTTCCATGGATTTAAGCCTATATATATATATGTGTGTGTGTGATTGAAGCAGCGAAACATCGTGATTTGGACCAGATTTTTTCAGATCCAAAATATGGGGAAATCATCTTAAAACAATCGAAAAAAGGTGATCTAACATGATCTAACCAGGCAAAGTGGTGATCTCTTAACAGGATTTCATCCCCCAGCTTGTGGCTTGTGGCATGTCTTACACTGTTCGACAATGTCTGATGGATACCTGATAGACCAGTCCCCTAAATCCCAGAGATAACAATTCAATTGAAAGTCCCAAATAAATCTTAAGTGAATCCTCCTGGGAGTAGAAACAACACATAACAACACCATACTTTTTCCATCTTTGATGATGTTTTTATGTCAGCAGAGGCCAACGTTACAGCGGCGCGCCAAGCCGTTCCGAAGCCACCTTCTGCTTCGTCTGGAGCTCCTGGCAACACGGATGATTCGTGTCCACTCAAAACATGCGGTGATTGTAAAAGGGTCAAACTCTTAATTTACCAGAGGGTAACGTTTGTGAAAGTGATTTTGTGTGCCGTGTGGAGGGTTACGCCAAGTGCCCAACCTCTCCCAGTTTTCCAACGTTTCTGGCTTCGCTGGTGGTTTTCCAGGAACATCTGAAGTTCACGGGAGTGTGGGTTGCAGACAGACACGGGCCAAATGAGCTTCACACTTCTTAATTGGGCATGCAAAACATCAATCAAAGGTCACACACATATGTATATATATATTACATATATATATCTATATATATACACATATATACTGGTTGGTGGTTTCAATCTCTCTGAAAAATATGAAAGTCAGTTGGGATGATTATTCCCAATATGTGGAAAATTCATGTTCCAAACCACCAACCAGCCATTCTATACGCATTGTATCACCATATATTTGGGAAATCCCCTGTTCATATATACCCTCTGGTTATTTAACGTAGCCATGGAAAATGGTCCATTTCTAGGTGGTTTACCTGGGTTTACCTATTAAAAATGGTGGATCTTTCCATGGCTATGTTAAATAACCAGATGGCATATATATATATATATAAATTATATCAACTATAGGTCCGTCAGATGGGCTTCACCATCGCCCGGTTTCAACCGGAGATCGATAGATCGATCCGCTCCGTCAAGGCTTTCTGCCAGGCAGAGTACTTCTCTTTGAAGTCATTGGATGGTTGCAAGTCCTGGAGCTGTGATTGGAATCCCAAAAATGCTGGGAGTTACTGCTAGTTGGTTGATACCCTCTGGTAAACCGCTATTGAAAATGGCCCATTTATAGTAGATATACCCATTAAAAATGGTGATTTTCTATAGTTACCTCCGTTTGCCAGAGGGTACATGTTGATACAACTCCAATAACTCCAATAACTCTTGGCTTGAAAAGGTATTAACTGATGTAAATTGCATGGAAAGGAAACTCCACAAAATCACCCATCCTCGATGCGGGTAGTGAGCTTCGTCTCTAGCACCCACTTCCGGAGATATTCCTTACCTCGGCGCGTCATATCTTTGGCAGATAAATAGTGATCTGGGTAAACTGTAATAATGCTCCATTGGAATAGTTACCCCAACTAATCATCATTCCAGTGAGGTCGCAGTGAGGTCGCTATAATCTATCTAGAGTGATACAATGATCATCCCAACAAAAACATGGATTAATGAACAAACAATGATGTCCACAAAGACACAACATAGTTTTAATCAATATATATATATATATATATGCATGGTCCCATCATGTTTTTGAACTTCACAAACAAAACATTTGATTTTACAAGCAAAACTATTTTTATGACTACAAGGAAAGACCTCTTTGACTGATTTAACCACCAAACACGGTAAATAGTTCACCAAAAACACAGTCTGATGAAGGACATGTTGCAGAACATTACACAAAAAGAAACTGTTTAGTCAGTAAATACTGGGCTTTGCAGCGGATGCGTATGGCTCACACATTACATACCAATGACCTCGCAAAAGGTTGGTCTTTGTAGGATCTGATGCCATGCCAAAACTGACTTTGCACAAAATGCTTCACGTATGTTAAAGTTATATAGAATTGTGAATTCATCCATGAACTCCCAACATATCACAATCAGCAAATGGGTGTGGGTCAAAGTTTAAGGCAATAACAATCCATGGAAAAGGTATGAACAAACCTTTTCAGTAGTGATCTCGGTTGTGGGCACCGAATTCTTGACTAAACCAAAATGTCGGGCCCCAACTGGCCATGTAAGTCACTCTGGGTAATACATCCTCATCTTTTTTCGCGTTCGCACACCGTCGCATTCAATATCATTCAATTGTCACCCCGGGGTCAGCGATTTGCGGAATGAAAAGTGGCCATTGACAATACTTTCACCACTAAATCAGGAGGGCTGGATTATGACAAATCGCCTGAATAGTTCGGCCATTCGGATACCCACGTCGCGACGTCAGGTTGCAACAGAATCTATCCAGATCGTTCTAATAACATCCCAGCAAAAGTAGTGAATCCCCGAACTAGCCATGGAGGTTTTACGGATTTACGGCACATGTTTGATTATCAAATGGTAATTAGCCAATATTCGTCAATATCATAAACATATTTCACTAATATCCAGTCATTTCCCATCTGGTTGGTGGTTTAGTTTCAACCCCTCTGAAAAATATGAAAGTCAGTTGGGATGATTCTTCCCAATATATGGAAAATCATAAAATTCATGTTCCAAACCACCAACCAGCCGTTATGTACGCATTGTATCACCATATATTTGGATGAATCCCCATTTTTGATGGATGAATCCCCAAATTCCACACAGTTTTGACGTCCGGGTGTCCCCACTTTCGGCCGCGCCTTGCCATTCATAGTTTACCTGGCAGCGTCGTTGTTCGTTCGTTGAAGGGAATTAGATTTAGTATGTTTTAGCCAACATGACAGGTGTGTTTTACATATTTGACCTACGAATATTCGTGTTTTCCCCTTTTTATTCAGTACTGGTACTTGATTTGTCTATCTTATCCACACATATTGGAGATGTTTTTTGGGTTAAAGTTTGTCTGATATGTTTCTATCCGGGAATCGCCAGTTTTGAGATCATCTTCGATGTTTTCTCGTTCAAAAGCAGAAACAATTCCAAATAAACGTAGTGTTTCTGAGCAATATACCGTTGATGGGCCTTAACATATGAACAACAAAAACATTGATTGTTTCCCTAGAAAATGATCTACGGCCAATGGAAAATCCACCTTTTTTATTGTTGATTTTTTCCATCAAAACCTCCATTTAAAATCTAAGTTATAGCTGGTTGGTGGTTTCAACCCCTCTGAAAAACATTAGTCAGTTGGGAGGATTATTCCCAATATATGGGAAACGGAAAATATAAAATGTTCCAGACCACCAACCAGATAGGGTATTTCCAATTGCCACATCCAATCTTCGACGCCCTCCAGAACCATGATTAAGAAACTACAGTAGCTGATTGGAAACACGAATGATAGGGACCAGGGGTGTAACGTGGGATGGGACTATCATGGGTCTTTCTGAAAATTGGATATGCTGTGATTTCATGTCAAAATGCAATTCTAAGTAATTTGAATGGATTGTCATCATACCCCTTTTGCCGCAAGGGCAGTAGAACATTGTATCACTCCATTGTTCTACGGACTATGACAACCCACAAAATATGATGGGTAGCGAAACATGGCGTGTATATATATATATAATTGCATGTGTTCATTCATTATGATCATTTCCATTTTGTCTCAAACATCGTAAAAAGTTAGTAGAACGTAGTATTCAGTTCCCACATTTTTAGGAATGAGAATCTAAAACATACCAGCTACTATATACCATAGTGTATTATTCCTATGGTAGAATATGGTATATATATCCCATTAATATCATCACCATGTTTTTGTCTAAAATGTACCAAGCCGTCGAACGTCCAAAAATATGTTGATCTTCATGGATCATCAGAGTAGCATTATATACACCGGATTGATTTTGATAATCCATGGGAATCAACAAACTTTGTCAAAAACGTCTAAAACTCACCAACTATAATCATGATATAGAATCACCAATTTGATAATTGCCATTATGATTATGATGCTTCGATGCTGCAACAGATCACTGCTTAGCATTGATATAACGTCCCACAACTGTGATTATGATTACCAGTAGTACCGCACAAGGCGGTGGCGGAAGTTTCAAAAATAGGAACCTATAGGAGCGGTTGGTTTTTGTGAATTACGGATGGCAGAGCGAAGCCACTGATGGACCGAAAGGTGGTTGAGGTCTCCTCTCTTTCTCTCTCTTTCTCTCACTTTCTCTGACTCTCTACCTACCTACCTACCTACCTATGTATTTATCTATCTATCGATCTCTCTCTCTCTCTCTCTCTTTCTATTTATCGATCTATCGATCTATCGATCTATCTATCTATGTATCTATCTGGCCAGCTATCTATCTATCTATCTATCTAGCTAGCTAGCTAGCTAGCTATCTAGCTAGCTAGCTATCTATCTAGCTAGCTATCTATCTATCAATCTATTTACCTATCTATCTATCTATCTATCTCTATCTACCAATCTACCAATCTACCTATCTATCTATCTATCTATCTATCTATCTATCTATCTATTTTTCTATTTATTTTCTCTCTCTATTTTCTCTATCTATTTTCTCTATCTATTTTTTCTATCTATCTATCTATCTATCTAGCTAGCTAGCTAGCTATCTATGAATCTATCTATCAACCTATCAATCTATCTATATATCCATCTATCTATCTATCTATCTATCTATCTATCTATCGACCTATCGATCTATCTGGCCAGCTATCTAACTATCTATCTATCTATCTAACTATGTATCTATCTATCTACCAATCTACCTATCTATCTATCCATCCATCCATCCATATATCTCTATCTACCTGTTTATTTATCTATCTATCTACCTATTTGTCTATCCATCTTTCTGGTCAGCTATCTATCTATCTATCGATCGATCGATCTATCTATCTATCTCTCTCTCTCTTTCTTTCTTTATTTCGTTCTTTTTTTCTATTTATCTACCTATCTATCTATCTATCTACCTATCTACCTACCTATCTATCCATCCATCCATCCATCCATCCATCTCTCTCTCGCTCTCTCTCTCTCTCTCACTACCTGTCTATCTATCTATCTATCTATCCATCCATCCATCTATCTATCTATCTATCTCTCTATCTATCTATTCTATTCTATTCTATCTCTATCCCTATCCCTATCTATATCTATATCTATATCTATATCTATCTATCTATCTGTCTATCTACGCCTTCCACCGACCCCCGCGCGCCCCACCCCTTCCGCGCAGGCTTGCGACAGTGAGAGAGCCGTCCTGAACACATATTAGTATATCTTTTTACAAATGTGTCTATATAGGTTTATGAATGCAACAACACAAACATATAGAGGTATATGGTATATACGTCTCTATATACCTGTAAAAACATACAGACCGACTGATGGCTAGTTAATAGCCGATTTTAAGTCAGCCAATTGTGGCACTGACAGAAGCGTCGATGGCTCCCATTCAACACAGTGCAGCTGAGGCAAGCCTTGAACACTGAGTGGAAAGGCCGCAGAGGTGAGATCATGCGGATGTCCATCGGCATCCAGCTGGAGCACCACACCGTGGCAATCCCTCACTACGTAGGAATCGCCAGAGATCTTCAGGTCTCTGGTGCTGCTGTCCAGCTCAGCCAACCAAGCCTTGGAAAATTGGATCTCCATCGCGAGATCTTTGGGCCGACACGTCCACGCGTGTGCACCATATATTAAGATCAGATCATGCACATGCTGAGGTTCTGTGAAAAGGAAACGTTGCACTGGGAAATCCCTACCGCACAAAGTCTTGGAGACAGAATGTTTCTATCCGAAAAGAGGCGATTCGAAAAAAAAATGCGAACCCTACTCCAACTGTTAGCTGCAGCTTTTTTGACCGCCCAAAAGAGGTTGTGCATTCAACCTCATACCACTGAAAGTTAAAATGCTGACGACATGACCCCTGTTGGTCAAGATAAATTTGAACCGGTGTGAAATTTGAACTCACACTTCCAACAGGTTCGACAGCCTAGTAGAGTCACCCTTCGCTTTGGACAATGCAGCTGCACGGATCAACCGGAGCATGTCCATGGTCGCTGAATTCAATGTGCGGAGGAAGATGCGTCTGTCCTCATTGAGCAGTGGCGACATATCAAAAATCCAATCCGACAGCAACACCAGGGCATCCTCTAACTGGTCGATGAGCACATCAATCTGATTGAGAGGCATGGTTCGGATGAAGGTCACCACTGTCGGAGGGTGAGGCTTAGGAGAAGCCCACATCTCAGCACAGCAAAAGAAGGATGGGGAGTCGTCAAACATGGCCCGAGAAATTGTCGAGCACCACACAGCAAAGACCGTGAAGTGCACCGTCGTTACCACGTTCTGGCACAACAGATTGTAGGCTGCTGTGACCTTATCAATCTTGGCCCAGTTGCCTTCTCGATCACCAAACTGCCGGATGAACGGCACCAAACCAAGTGCAAGCTCTTCCATGGGCAGCACAGGCATCAGTGATGCAGGACGAGTCACCAAAGCGTGGTAAACTCTCAAACGTGGGGCCAATCTGGAGTGCTACATGACATGATCACAGTCGATAAATAACTGGCCAATTGAAGCAACAATCCCAATCACGGGTCACACCCCTGTGAGACCAGCCATGGAAAGCACAGCATTTAACTGCCACATTAATGGTGAGCCATGACAAGCACTTCATAAATAAGAGGAGCACTTGATGGATGGATATTTTTTTTCAGCCGACAACTCAGTCGAACTCACGACAGCAAGCAGGCCTAAGGCATATGCGATATGCCGGAGGGAGCATCTCTGATGGTGAGATACTTGTGTCTCCTGCTGTACGACGAGCTCCACACGCAAACTTAAAATACTGGGAAGACCCATCAATCTCAAAATTGCAAATGCACTGAGGGTCTGATACATCACACGGTGAGGCTAAATGTGCAACCAAAGAGTGGTTATTCAACAAAGAGATGCAATCAGCCACAGCAGTGTACTGACAAACAACTGGTTGTGGGCACGCTTCAGATGCCTCGAGATCAGGCGGCTCAGGGGCTACTTCCGAATCCGTGTCCACGTGATCCTCCAGCGATGGGGGCTCAATGGACGTCTGCACATCCAGATCCACCAGTGGACCAATTAGGGGAATAACCACAGGTCTGTCACATTTCGAAGGTGCAGCACCACGCAAAAGTGGGGTGACAGGCCTGAAATCTTCAGCAATCTTGGATAAAAGGATTTTTTTGGAGAGATAGTGCAGGATGAACTTCATCTCTTCTATACAAAGCTACACAAGACCCACTGCCCGTGGATCTATGATGGCCTTGGTGTCGCCGAAGCTCCTCATCCAAACCCAGCTGCCTCGACCAGGACAAGAAGGTCACTTTACAGGAGTGAACCCCCACAAAGCTCAGATCAGCATCAGGATCAGAAATGAGGATGTGCCTACGCAAGTTGACAATGCCTTGAGAGCGAGACATTGGTGCCACAAATTAGGGAGCATCCACATCCTGGCCAATTTGTGGGATCACAAAATCTGGGATGAAATCCGGGTACGGAGCTTGAGTGCGTCTCAAGGCTTGCCTGACCAAATTCATCCAAAGTGAACACCAGCAAGAGTCCACAGTATGTCCCAAGAAGTCTTGTCGTAGGATACCGAAGGGCATGCCCCTATTGGTGGACTTGGTGCGTCGAGCCAGGCCACGAAGGCAAGGCGAGTTCTCAATCAACGAGGCAGGAGAAATCCATTGTCCATCTGACCACCTCAAAGATCCCCAAATCAAAAGAAGAATGCCACCAATCACCAAACGGTCAGCTTCCGACATCGATTCACTCAAAATGCACGACTCCTGCCAAATGATGAAGGACAATGGCAATGGTGCAGCTTCCCGCCTAACAGATGGAGTAGCAGCAATAGAGTAGGACTTGATCAGAGGCAATTGCACCACCTCAGCAAGGGCTTGGCAAACTGCATGCTGAGACCCCAGTCAGAGCACGAATGTACCCAGATGCGATACCTTGAGCACTAGCTCTAGACTGAACATGCAAGAAATCTGCCAAAAGCGTCATCGTAGGAGTGAACGGTGAGCAGACTTGACACGAGGCCAACTCAGCCAACTGCCCCACATTCGCAGATAGGATGACAATGTCGACGGTGCATAGTGAGCCACAGCCTTGAGGCGGTGGGACTCTGAATGCTCATTACCCAATGTGTCCTGAAACAGCCGACTATGATGGCCAGCATCCTCCAAAAGTTGAAGCCATTGTCTAAGGTGTTGATTCTTCAATTGGTTGTGCAGTGCACGCATTGACTGAACCTTGGAACTCGAAGCTGAAATGCCCACTACAGGTTCTGAGACCAAGGCCGTAGACAGCTGTCTGAACGGCGAGACAACTTTGGTGCCCATACCAGATACCTGGGGTGGCCGGGGCAACTCAACAAGCGGTTGGAAGCCACGAGCATGGACACCCAAGCAAGGTCTGGTATACTGCAGACCACCTATTGTCAAGTTCTGAAATCCCAGCGGGGACCTGTGATGACTTGGTGGTGCTAATGCAGGACCAACAATTGGAAAAATGGATGGTGGTCTGTATCCAGAAGAGAACCTACCATCAGTCCAACGATTCAGTAGGTGTGATGGAATAGATGGGGCAGATTTCGAGAAACCAACATCACTAGGAGGTGAAATTGGAGAAGATCTATGACCCCGGCCAGCATACCTTTTGACTCGACACACAGGTGCCGGCAACGAGCTGAATGGAGTCTGAGGATCATGCTCCATACCAGGTGAGCGCCCATCCATCAAGGCATCAAGTGATGTACAGCACTGAGAAAAAATGATGTTCGCATGAAACACGTATGAAACAATCATGGAAAGGCAGTTCAGGAATCCACAGAATGTGAAAAGGAAAACCACCAAACATCCAGTACCCTGTGCCCATCAAAACTGTGGCTAGAGCCAAACTCGGGAATGACAAAAACCAATCAGCTCAATGCAAGCCCAATCTCAACACAAGTTGACATGCATGAAGCATCAAACGGATGTCAATGCATGAAAGCCCGTTAAGGCAACATGAACAAGGGTAAATCAGCCAATTAGCCAGAGTGAATCAATGGTTCAACTCAGAGCTAAAATTGCAAAAAAACACCAAAAATCCAGAGTACACATGATGTCATAGAAAATGAAACAAGGGAAATCATAGGACGCTACCAGCAGCATGTTTTCCAATGGCAAAAGTCAAAATCCGGAACACAAGCTACATAGGCTCGTCCACACAGGAGTCCACGCCAGTAGAACTCCTGCAAAACAAAGGAGTTTTCAGCCACCACGTCGACGTTTTTGCGGTGGATCAGTCTGATCTGGTTCCTCAGATTGAAGCACGCCACTGCCGTCAACAGACGATGACGAGTCACCATTGGGCTCTTGGCCAGGGATGCCATCGTCGCCCTCTGGCGCGGCCAAAGATGAGGATGAAGCACCTGTAGATCCAGCCACGCGGCGGCCAAGCAAGCCCATCAAAGTACCATCTGGAGCAGCTGGAGGATGTGCCCCAGCAATGCCAGTGTCAGGATGGCCCTGTGGCTGGCCAGCTATCTATCTATCTATCAATCTATCTATCTATCTATGTATCTATCTATCTATCTATCTACCTATCTATCTATCTATCTATCTATCTATTTTTCTATCTATTTTGTCTATCTATTTGTTCTATCTATTTGTTCTATCTATTTTCTCTATTTATTTATTCTATCTTTTTTCTATCTATTTGTTCTATCTATTTGTTCTATCTATTTTTTCTATCTATCTATCTATCTATCGATCTATCTATCTATCTATCTATCAACCTATCTATCTATCTATCTATCTATTTGTTCTATCTATTTGTTCTATCTATTTTTCCCTTTCTTGCTATCTATCTATCTATCTATGTATCTATCTATCTATCTATCTATCTATATCTATCTACCTGGCCAGCTATCTCTTTATCTATCTATTTATCTATTTATCTATCTACCTATCTACCTATCTACCTATCTACCTGTCTACCTGTCTACCTATCTACCTATCTATCTATCTACCTATCTATCTATTTACCTATCTAGCTATCTACCTATCTGCCTATCTACCTATCTATCTATCGATCTATCGATCTATCTATCTATCTATCTGTCTGTCTGTCTGTCTATCTATCTACCTGTCTATCTGCAAGCTTGAAAACGAAGCTATTATGCGAGGCGTCCTCAGGTTTTGAACTTGACAACATCGAAAACGAAGCAATTCTGCGAGACTTCCTCAATGTTTGAACTTGACAACGTCAAAAACGAAGCAATTCTGCGAGACTTCGTCATTTTTCAAAGTTGACAACATCAAAAATGAAGCAATTCTGCGAACTTCCTCAATATTTCAACTTGACAACGTCAAAAACGAAGCAATTCTGCGAGGCTTCCTCATTTTTCGAAGTTGACAACATCAAAAACGAAAGAATTCTGCGAGACTTCCTTCAAAAATGCAGAGCTGACGGCCTCGTACCAATGCGTTTTGCGATTTTTCCAGTCCATCTGTCTAAACTACCGCGCCTGCCACGAAAAAGTGATGCCAGGTCACACGAAGTGCTGCACCTGTCACGTAAAATCATCTTAGCAAACCTGAAGATCTGATGCTCCAAAATGCAACCCCTCTCAGGAAATCACCGCCCGGACCTCCTAACAGCTCTGATGCAGATGTCTCTTGTACTGCGCCTGCCACGGAAAATGCATCTTTGCAGATCCTCTTCAAATGTCCCACGCCTGTCATCGTTTTTGGAAATGCTACAAAACCCTCACATTTTGCTCGCTTTTGAGAAGGTGCACAATCCCTTGCGCCTGCCACGCGAAAGCACATCTGAACCTCCAAAAGTGGCGCGGACATGTCGTGTTTTGTACATTTTGACTTCAAAATGTGCTTCGCGCCACAACAGCGTGCACTTTTTCGACATCTCAAGGTCCGAACCTGGTGTGTTTTGTACATTTTGATTTCAAAATGTGCTTCGCGCCACAACGGCGTGCACTTTTTCGACATCTCAACTTCCAAAAGTGGTCCGAACCTGGTGTGTTTTGTACATTTTGACTTCAAAATGTGCTTCGCGCCACAACAGCATGCACTTTTTCGACATCTCAACTTCCAAAAGTGGTCCGGAGCTCGTGTGTGTTGTACATTTTGACTTCCACAACAGTGTGCAATTTTTCATCTCTCATCTGGCCAGCTGGATCCGCACCCGCCACTTTAGCGAGCCTACTTTTCGACCCTCCGGAGCCACAAATCATTGGAAAAACACAGTGTTTCGCGACTTTCCTACCTTTTCGCGCACCTGCATCTTCTTTCTTCTGACTCTTTCTCTTCTCTGATCTTCTCTCTTCTACTCTTCTCTTCTCATGACTCTTCCCGTCTCTGCTTTTCATCTGTCCATATTGTCCGAAGTTTGACTTCTAAACTTCCTTCGATTATCTCGTATTGCAATGAACAAACGTAATATGATTCCCTGTGTCCAGTGTGAGACATGAGGATATGATGTGGGCCACTCAAGCCACACTGAAACAAAGGCCATGCAGCCATGGTTCATTTGGAGAGCAAATATCACCAAATATCTACAAATCAAATTATATATATACACTGTAATATGATCGTTATTACAACCATTTATTTAATATATATATATAACGTTCATTTTATATGTGATGTCTATCCTGAAAACCATTTACAGTGATTACCATTATTTACAGTAATCATTAATATTATCACCATATTAGTCTCACCATATCAGTTATCACCGTAATTGTCAGTTATAATATGATGTCTAGTCTGTTAATTTATCCCCAAAAAAACTAATCACCATTGTAAAAGAGTTAATTACCATAATGTGATATCACCATAACGTTCTCTAAAAAAGACTGATCACCGTTAAATATCAATTATAAATTATACATATATATATATGGTTAGATCAACGGTTATCAAGTTACATCTGACCAATACTTAGATCTAGTTATTGATATATTGTTAGATCATTACCATTATATGGTAATGATTCTCCATGTACAATGGTAATGATCTGCTTGTAGATCAATGGTTAATTACAACCAGATCATTCCCATAACCCCATAAAGCATATAGGATCATTATATAATTGATCTGTATAACCATATTAATGGCTTCCAATGTAGATATAATGGTAATGATCTGGTTTTTAGATCAATGGTTAATTACCAGATCATTACCATTATATAATAGATCATTACAACCAGTACCAGATGATCTATAATATAATGGTAATGAACTATACTGGTCCCTAATGGATGATCCATTATATAATGGTCCCTTACAACGGTGAATTACCCTTATATGATCATATAAACGTCCCTTTACAGGTCCCAAAACTGACGCATTAGGCTGGCGTATGGAAGCGTTGTGCCCAACATTGGGCTCCTCATCGAAGCCCTCGCTCTTCTCCGGCACCGTAAAGCTGGCGAAGGCCTGGTGATAGAAACACGGGCCACATATATATATATATATATATATGAGTTCTATATACTGTAAATATGGTGTGTATACATATATATATATATATATACATATAATCATGTATATATATGTATATATGCCTCTATATATATATATATGTAGTATGAAATTATATATGGTATACGGGATACATATATATATATTGTATATTGTATACATATATATATATGTATTGTATATATCTGTATAGTGTGTATATATATATATTGTATATATGTATATACATCATATACTACACTTATGTGACAATATATGATGATATGTAGATATACCAACAACCCTGGGGATGCGATATATGGGATATGGCTGGATTTTTGTTGGATCTTTCATGGGAAAGGACAACCAAAAACCATTGATGTTAAACACCATTATTTATGGCTGGAAAATATTCAACTATCAACCAACTAAATGTCAATGGGTATATATATATAACTCCAACATCAATTGGTATAAACATGTACAACAAAAGAGGAAAAACTTTTACTGCAACAATAATGATGAGGGTTTTATGGGGTTTTGCTGGAGATATTCAGGGAAATGGGGTGTGAATGGGACAGTGGTAGACAAACCCGCATGAATATAGACATGTAGAAACAGCATGAAACGATATGGAACAACAAAGCTGTGGATGCTAATTAGTATTGCATAGACTCTTGAACAAAGAGCTGAACATGTACTAGGACCTGAGTGTTACCTATGCTATCGCAAACATGGCAGCCAGACAAGATATCCCAGTGAGAAAATGGAATAGTTATCCTGTTCTTTTCCCAGGGCTCTATTTACAAATGGCACATGTCCGATTGCCCCTCAACACCTGCTTTTATGCCTACATCTACCAGCTACAATCTTGAAGTAGATGCAAACTATATATCTTGGATGCACCTTTGACATCTTCGGATTGCCATATATCTTGGATAGTTTACCTTTTGCAGATGAGAAAAACAACCTACAGTATATCCTGGAGAGTTGTTGCAAATGATAGATCTTTCTTCAACCGGATTTTTGAAATGTCGCCCCGGCCTTTGCCAGCACCGCCGGGGACACGTCTGGAATGGAGCCCTTGATGAAGTTCTGCCTTAGTGACGTCATGTGCCGGAGGTTTCCGCACATGGATGGTTTTAGAATGACAAGTCCTATGAAATCACCATAAATCACAATTTTTAATGGGTAAATCAACTATACATGGCCATTTTTAATGGATACAATATAATCTGGTTGGTCCATTGGTGGTGCAATTATCATCTTGAAAAATGATGGAGTTCGTCAATGGGAAGGATGACATCGCATTTGTCGAAAAAAAACATGTTTAAAAACAACAACCAGAAATGGACGATTTGGGATAAGCACCATTTTAGGACACCCCTATAAACAAAAATATGGCAAAACTATGCAAAACATGGTTATAAAGTTGGAATTCCGACTAATTATTCAAAGTACATTTTGGTATTGGGCTATACTTCATTTCAACGACATCCACGTAGCAATTTGAGATTCAACGATTCTCCAAAGGTTGGGGTTTTCCCCGACCGAAGCCATCGCGGCACTCTCCACCCAGGATCAATATGCCGCCGCGAAACATTACCCGAACATAACAAACTGGAAAATCATGGAAAATCACCATCTTTAATAGGTAAATCAACTATTTCTATGACCATATTTTCAATAGCTATGTAACAAATTACCAGAGGGTATCAAATTTAAACCACTAAAAGAAAACCATACACACACATTTACCAGTAGCTTCCCTGTTGTATCCGATCGGCTTCATCCAACCGTTTTTTCAACACCGGCCATGTCTCAGTTCCAGACTTCTCTTCCTCCTCTGTCAACTCAACCTGGCTGGGGCTTCTTATGGAGGTTCATAGCTGGGAAAAACCAATATAAATGGACAATAGACGAGTCTTAGTTAATATGACTTTCCCAGCGAACAAAACCTCCATTTAGTTCGGGGATTTCCCATTCTGGGGACCACCATAGATTTCGGATCTCGACTGATCTGCAAGCTGATAGGGACAAGTCCATGCATGGTCCACTTTCGGTGTGCTTCCACGTGGGTACCCACGTGGGAAAAAGGTTCAAGATTGAATCTCAACACCCATCATATCATTCCGCCATAGCTATAGATCAGTCTGCATCACCTGCGTTTTGGAGAATAACCCTTGATCCGGACCTTACTGTTTGAGTCGCATCCAGATTGCCAGACTGGTCATCTTCCGATACCCAAGCGGGTCCCCAAAAATGGGGTGCGAATGCTTGACAAAAAATCATATGGGAGCATGTCTAGTGCACCCTATCAGATTTGATGCCAAGTTTGCCCCATGCGGATCCATGCGGATCCATGCGGCTTGTGAGGTCGCAACATGTCGTAAGTTCCCTTAGAGAAAAGGCAAACCCAATGCCATCACAAACCCTTCCGAAGAACGCAGTTTACGGAAATCGGAAATCCTCTGGGATGATCCATCAAGACCCATCACGATTCATGGACATGAACATGGGATGGTCATGGACATGAAAGCTCAGCAAAAGTAAACAAGATCCATCAAGATCTATCCAGATTCATCAAGATTCATCACGATTCATTACGATTCATCAAGATACATCAAAATTTATCAAGATCCTTTGAAGAGATTTCCCCCTTTTCGATCCATAAATGGAGCAGATGTTCCATCCATTGGAACCCGTTTTGCCTGCGGTGGCTCATCGCCCAGGTCTTCCTCTTCGGCCTCGCCAATAAAACATATGGGGGGTACCCCCAAATGGATGGTTTATTTCATGGAAAATCACTGATTAATTACTGAGTACCAAAAAACTATGACATGGAATGACACTGATTAGTGATCAAAAGAACATGTTAAAAACAGTCAGTGATTAGATGTGATTAGTAATCTGATTAATCACTGATTACAAAAAAGAAAAAAGAGAGACACGTGAAAAAAATACAGGACGTGGCGTATCTCTTGGCAATGGTGAATAAAAATGAATAAAATACGTGGGACTTTGACGTCAGGATTTCGAAAAAAAGTTTCACCCATCTGCCGAACCCGTTGGATCTCTTTAGGGGATTTGTATATACCCTCTGGTTATTTGTTACATAGCCATGGAAAATCAGAAAATCACCATGCTATTAATAGGTAAACCATCTATTTCTATGGGCCATCTATACCATGGCTATGTAACAAATAACCAGAGGGTATATATATCTTTATATACACTGTATAAATGAAGGATATACCATCTAGTAGAAAATCATGGCTGCTTTTATGCGTTTTTGTTTGATCCATCTTTGTATCCCCACACCAAAATCTACCAAAAATACGGGGTTCCTTATAAACAAAAATATAATAAACAAAACTGCAAATAATTTTGATGATTTGGGGCTTTCAGCTATTTCGGGAGATGTTCATCGCTGGATATCTTGACCATCGACTCATCTGGGGAAAAACATAGTAAGAAATGGGGATGGGTCAAAACCCTGGTACCGTGCCGTGAACCCCAAAATAGCTGGTAAATGGATGTTTCATCCCACTAGAAATGTATCTATAGGTATTGACCCATACCCAAATTGCAATCCATATCCAATTTTCTGGATGGCTGGGAGAGTAGTTATTTAGGCCTGGGATATCAACTGGGATGGCCATCAACGATGATCCAAGGATGACGTACGGATCACTGGGCCATGACGTAACCCTGGTCTCACCCTTCTCCACCTTGGGCTCCTCTGCTTTTGGTTCCTGGAAATCACGAATCACGAGTCGCGTTAGGCGCGGCTAAGGCACTTTCGCAGTTTGGGAATATCAGCCAAATCTTAATGGTCGTTGCGTTGAGGATTCTGAAAACTGTTCAACATTTAAAGACAGGGTCATGTCAACATCGTTATGGCTCATTTGGAACGTATGTCAACCTTCAACACCCACATATACATACCTGGTTGGTGGTTTTAACCATCTTGAAAAATATGAGTTCGTCAGTTGGGATGATGAATTTCCCATATATTATGGAAAGTCATAAAAGCCATGTTCCAAACCACCAACCAGAGACAACAACCACCGAGATGTTAAAACCCTCAAAAGGGGATGACTCCCGCACCATCTGCCCAGGTGGCTTGGAAAGGCATGAACTTGGACACTGGGTGAAAGCTAACATCTACAAGACACCATCTGGTTGGTGGTTTTAACCATCTTGAAAAATATGAAAGTCAATGGGAAGGATTATCCCATATATTATGGAAAAAATGTTGGAAACCACCAACCAGCGATGCGTTTATTCCTTCGTTGCCACCTGGCTGGTTGTTTTCACCAACTGGGCCCCCAGAGTTGGAGCACCTCCTCTTTCATCTCTGCATCCTTTGCCTGAAACGGCTACATATGTTCCATGGGGTGACTTACTGTCTTATAACTAAGTGCTATAAAGGCCATAACTCCATAACTGCTAGTGGAACTAACTCAGTGCAGGGATTTTTGGAGTTCTGAGGTCAAAAGTATTGAGATTTCTGATTTCAGGTTTTTTTCACCTACAATAAAAGGGCAAACTAAAGGGGGTAAACCGTATGGAATGGCAGCCATCCACACTGATTTTTTTACATTTGACGAGTGACGGGTCGTTTTTTCAGTGCACTGCTTCGTGTCTGCACAACCAAAGGATGGTCATGTCCTGCAAGTATAAATATGTACAAATGCTTGCAACGTGTGTGATAGCGGTTTGAGCCAATAAACATAGGATGTAGATGTAGCAACAAAAGGTATACCGACTATAAATACATATAAAGTCATATAAATGAAGTATCCTTCAAAAATGGTTCCATTGCATGTTGTGTTTTGCTTGCTGCAAGTCCCATTGTCATTTTTCCTTCAACAAATAAGCCCTCCATTTACTGTATCAAACTTCTAAAGATTCCGCCACACCTCTGTCTCTTCCGCCGCCGGCTCTTCAGTAGCCTCAGCTGCTGCCTCTTCACCTTCTTCACCCTCCTGGTGCGGTGATAGGTCCAAATTTAAATCTCAGACCCAGACTTGTCAAACCCAGATTCATGAATTACTGGTGGCTTATTTAGTTGAGGCTATACCATTATGATAACTACATGGAAATGTGTAATTTGTTGGTGACTTGTCCTTGATTCCGTGAGGGTCACCTCTCTTGGGGTTGAAACCTACTAAATTTCTTTAAAAAAAAACCTTTCCCAAACATGGCCCATCTTGGGCTGGCCGCAAAGCCTTTTGACTTTACACTCCATGTATGCCTTTCATACAAAACACAACTATCCATTGGACATATCCTTGGCTTTAAATTCGTAAAACACCACCCAGGAAATGTGGTTCGGAATGTACTGGATACGTTCGTGTAGTAGTGGTCTCAGTATCACATTTCGGGATGTTTTTTCTTTGATGGGATTCATCCTCCGCTTCTTGGGTACCCCACGGGTACATTGCCCCATCCCCTAAGTAATTATATCCGAAAGCAATGAAGACTCTGATGAGTGACTCACTTAAATATCCAAACTCAGCACCCCCCAGACTCACATATGTCTAATGATTATTCGCGTGTTTGCTATTTGGTTATGTATTGTTTTTTTGTTGTGGGGGACCGGAAGTTGGAGATACATGTTATTTTCTTTCTCTCTCTCTCTCTCTATCTCTATTAACACAACAATATATGTAATCATATATATATAATAACAATATATTTAAAATATAACTGTACACGAGCCGGCGTCAAAATTATAGGTTAGGGCTGTATTTATATGTTGGAGCGCCCCCTATGATATTGAATTTCCGGTGTAGCCACAGGAGTCTCAGCCCTGACACATTCTTAAGCCATGGTGGAAGTGGAACTGTTAGAACTGGAGATGTCTGTGATAGAATCACTGCTGGATTCCTCCTGCTCAAATGGTTTTGATTCTTCCGCTCTGTGTTTTGATCGCTCCACCTGACAAAGCCACCTCTCAATTAAGTTCCGCGAGTCTGGCAGCAAGGACCAGCGGACCGTTCATCGTGGTCTCACCTGTGATATCTCTGCTGGCAACGTTGGAAAACATGGGATTGCAAATGCGGACTCCCAACCGTGGCCTGATTCAATGGCGTTGAAGATCATATCCAATAAGATCTTGTTGAGGTTTCCTAAGTCATGGGGTACACCCAAAACATCCATTTTGGGGTTCCATGACTGTAGAAAACCCCATATGCTCTCTCCGCTCCCGCAAAGGATTCTTCTGAGCAAAGGTAGCAGCACTAAAATTCTGGCTGAACATATGACACTGACACAGTGATACCCATATGCTCCATGTATGGAATATTGACCACCATTTGCCCTAAAAATCACCCAGTTATGTAGGTTAATATACCAGCACCATGGAGCATATGGGATAGCTAAAATGCCGATTAAGGATGACTTGAAAGCTCATGTTTTCCATCATTTTCCCATATTTTCCCAAGATTTCACGGCCGAAATCGTCGGTCAGGTCAACCGGTCAAGCCGTTCTCTTCCGACGGAACCCGGGAAGACCTTGGCCTCCTTTGCCTCCTTGGCTTTCTTGGCTTCTTCGGCCTGAACGGAGATCGGGAGATCTGGGATGCAGGGGAGTGAACCAAAGAATTGTGTAGGATTCTATGGGTTTTATAAGGGTTTTATAATCCATCAAAAGAGAAATAATTCAAAGATCTTAGAGAACTATATGATTCCCAAATCAGAAACGAGCATGAATGAGTGAATGAACTCGGGTGGATTCCCAAAAACTACAAAGAAATGAGGTGAGTTGCTTTCCGAGATCGTTATTTTTTTTTACAGTATAGCTAGATCCATCATGCTGTCACATTCACGTTAAGATTTGAAGGCTTCTTGATCCCCAGCTAAGTTAGTTTGACATACTTGAACTATCAAAAAGCAAACATTTGTGGGTCCAATGGTAAATCCATCTTGAAAGATCTAATATATATATATATATATATATATCTGAAAGGTTTCGGATCGCAAGGGCCCACACCCGCTTCCGTCCTTAACCTTAGCGGAATCCTGTCCTGATTCCGCGGGCCATTTTCGTTGCAACTTTCGTTTGGTCTGAACTGGCAAGCCCCTGGACCATCGGAACGTGCTCTGCCTGATCGGAAGACAGGCATCACCTTTGCATTCGGTGTCCCAGCACCGTCATCAACCCTGGGTGGCCTTTTTAGCTGGACAAGAACTCGGCTTTTGTGTATGTGCCAGGCAATTTTGTTCTTCCTTGTTTTGGCAACGATTCTGATCAAGGTGGACCTGACTTGCACTGCACACGCCATTGGCATTGTCTCTGAGGAAACTCTTGTAGAGGGCTACATTCTCCTGACTGACTTTGACCACGGCGAACAATACAATCCGCAGATCTCAACGTCGGAAACGAGCACGAGCAAGACTACAGTGGCATCTCTTTCAAAGAGGTTTTATCTCCTTGACAAGAAGTCAGCTGAAGCAACTTGCATCGACTCTCAGTTCCCATCATTCCAAGGACAGCCATTTTATTGCGAGAATCAGATCAGCAATGTCTTCTACGAGCAATCCGCCGTGGAGATGTTCGAGCTGCAGACAGCTGAGGAAGCATTCAGCGTTGCACTGCACGACATGTCAGATGCCATGGCATCTAGTCATCGATCGGACATACGTCCATGGTGCAAAGTCCCAGCAATGGACAGCGGAGCAAAATACATACGCTGCGCCCTGGCAGGGATCTCAGCAAGGTTATTCTCAGTGGGAGCAATCATGGGATCAGTCTTCTCACAACCGTCCCAAGACGCCGAGAAAGAAATCGAGGTCAAAAAGTGCCAAAGGAAACAAGACCCCTCATGGCACTCCAAGGGGCAATCAGCCGCAGCCGCAGGGACCCATGATGCCTATGCACCCGATGTCAGGTGCACCCATGGGACCTCCAGGTCAGATGTCGGCAACCATGCCCATGATGAATGGGGGCATGCAGCCAATGCAATCGATGCATTTGATGCAGCCTCCTTTCCCAGCCAGTGGGACACAAGCACCATTGCCGCCGCCAAGCACACCATGGCAGGCCAACACAGCTGGACCGCCTCTTCAAATGCAAGCGGCACAGCCAGTGACTTCGGTCATGGGAGCAGGATTTGTGATGCCATCGATGCCCAAGGCGCCATCTATTTCGCCAATGTCGGAGCAGATTTCGCCAGAGCTTCTGTCCATGCTGAAGCAAGACGTGGCCGAGCTTCCACCTCATATCCAAAAAGCCGTCAAGGAAACAGCTATGAAAGAAGGAGTGAAGGATGGAGCGACAGCCACCAGGAACCTGCATGCGGCAGCGACCCATTTGGGTCACATGCGCAAGGCCTACGAAGATTCGCTGATGGCCAGAGCGCAACTGCACAACAATTGGAAGAAATTCTTGTCGGATGCCGTCAAATTATGGCAAGAATATGCAGCCCAATTTGCAGCTCAGGAGAAGAAGCTGTCCGAGCAAATTGCCACTTCCAAAGAAGCCTTTTTGGAAGCCAAAGTTTCGTCAGCCAAGGCTCACGAGACAGCAGGAGAAGTGCAGGAGATTTCGGACGAGGAGATCGGAGAAATCACAACTGCTGCGTCTGGATCAGCCCAGAAGATCACAGACACTATGGAAGACCTCAACAAGTCCCTGGTCAACCTTCAGCAGCAGGCGATGTCGATCGTGTCAGAAGAAGAAGTTCACCTGGCGAAGCGACCACGCAGACGCCATCCTGCAGAAGAAGACTCAACCATGCACGCGCCACTCCAAGGAGAAGACGCAGAACATGGCAAGCCTTTTGGCTAGGCTGGCTGCAAGTGACGTCAACGTACTTCAACCTGAAGCCAGTTGAGGAAGTGTGCATTTTGCCCAATGAATTGCTTGTTGCCAAATGGACCCACCCAATTACCTTTGAGCCGGCCTTTATGACAGAATGGGGAGCTGTTGAAAGCGCCAGACAATTGTCTTTTGAGCTTGGGACCTATGATGGCATCGTGCGACAATCAGTTCCTTCACTTCGTGATCATTTTCCTTATCCACCTCATTGTCATGGCAAAGTGCGCTTTCATGATGATGTTGATGTTCTGGTTGGTGATGACACGACAAATTTGATGTCAAATTTTTCAATTCCACATCATGCAGTTGCTCAAGTTGATTTTGGCGGGTCTTTGTCGACCATTTTCCAGAGCCTTCACAACTTTTCGAGCAGGACTGATGTTGATCCGCTGTCAAGTTTGGCCGTGTGTATCTCCAGTCCTCAATGCCCCATTGCCAAGTATCGCATCACTGACCAATGGCAGAATCCTATACCATCTGACATGCGTCAAGAGACAGGACAACAGGAGCCAGATCCCGATGTGATCCCAGACCCTGTTCATGCACCACCATTCATACATGACCTCCTTGAATTGGCGGAAAGACATGGAGCATTCACAGACCTGGACGCAGAGGATGTTTTCAGAGTGCGTACTTGGTACATCCATCATGTTCATCAACAACGCAATCTTGAATATCGAATCCTTGAATTTCATGAAGACTGGAGACGATGGGATCCTGACCTTAGAGGTGCGTGGAGGGACCACATAAGGCCTGATGAAGAAGTGGACTTCAATGTCGCTTTTCCGGACCCTTACCGAGGTTCTCTGCCACAGCCCACGCATGCTGACATCATTTTGTCACAAGGTACCTGGATTCATCGCCTACCTGGAATTGTCACAACGCATTATTCTGGAAGCTCAGCGCAACAATTTTCATTTGCTGTTGCGGCGTCTTTTGGACCAATGATTTCTGGATTTGAAATTGTCGAAGCGGCAGATTGTATGCATTGGTGCAACGCCATCAATCACCGCTGTTTGATCACATTTGGTTGGAATGAAATCCCCTGTGACCATCGCCAATTGCATTTCATGAGAGCAGGACATTCTTTTGTCCTTCATATCCAGACAGAGTGGCCAATCACAGCTGCTGCGAGCGACCATCAACATCATGGGGAAGTCAACCAGCAGGTGGCCTCCCATTCCCAGAGTTCATGCCAAGCTGATGATGCCATGGATTATGTGAATGAACAACCAGGATCGCCCGGAGGACAGCCGCCGCATGAGCATCCAGATGCGGATCCACATGATTCTGCAAGTGAAGCCAGCATCCACAGTGCTGACAGAAGTATCCTGGTTTATCGTCTTCATGCCCGAGATGAGCATTGCTTTGTCACATGGTCCACATACATGACCATTCTCGATGGTATTATTCATGCTTTGAGACTGCCGCGCAGCCAAATCAGAACCTTCCATCGACTTGCAGTAGTGCCACCGGACATCCATGAGATCTCTGAGGAAGCCGTTATTCTCCAATCAATACATTTATGAAATACCTTTGGGCCACAGACCCAGACCTCCAAAATGCATATCAGAATTCCAAAATGCATATCCCAAAATGCATATCAGTTTGGTAGCCTTTAAGAAATGCATATCAGGGCAGCTCTTTAATTGTCTTGCTATCATCAATGTTGAGCAAGGTGTCTAGGTGCAACATTGTTTCTCTATTTTATTTGCTCTGCTATGTTGGGATGTCACTATTCATCAGGTCCTATCTGCTAACGACTATCCCCAAACCACCATGTAGTCAATGAACAAAGAAAGCTTCTAGAGACGCAATGTTGGCTTTACTTGCATTTTCAAGTGATGTAATCATATATATATATGTGGTCCTACGACACTAGTCAGTAGTCACTACATTGCATGGTCTGAATTTACTGTTATTTACACTATTTTTTTTAAATACATGTACATCATCTTTCTTCAATCGTCATTTGCTCCAGTTCCAGCAAACCCAAGGCCCCAAGGCCCTTGACTCCATGATTGAATCCAACACCAGTGACATGTGGCGGACCCAAAAGTAATATGCATTTTGAGCAGAGGCTGTAAAACATACTCAAAAAATATGCATTTTGCAATATGCATTTTTCAGAATTTGCTATGGGGTGAAAATATGCATTTTTCCCAGGTAAAATGCATATTTTTTGCATATTCTCTGTATATTCGACACATTTCCCAGCAATTCACCATGACAATTCCACCAATATGCATTTTTGAGGCATTGGACTTATGCAAAAAATATGCATTTTACCTAGGTAAAATGCATATTTTTTGCATATTTCCAGGGCTTCAAAAATGCATATTTCCACAAAATGCCTGATTTCAACCATTTCCATCAATATACATTTTTGAGGCATTGGGAATATGCAAAAAAGATGCATTTTTTCTAGGTAAAATGCATATTTTTTGCGTATTTCCAAGGCACCAAAAATGCATATTTCCACAAAAATGTTTGATTTCAACCATTTCCATCAATATGCATTTTTGAGGCATTGCAAATATGCAAAAAATATGCATTTTACCTAGGTAAAATGCATATTTTTTGCGTATTTCCAAGGCACCAAAAATGCATATTTCCACAAAAATGTCTGATTTCAACAAATTTCATCAACATGCATTTTGAGGCATTGCAAATATGCAAAAAATATGCATTTTACCTTGAAAAAATGCATATTTTTTGCATATTCCCAATGCCTCAAAAATGCATATTGATGGAAATTGGGGTCATTGTGAATGCCGGAAATGGTAGAATATACAAAAGATATGCAACAAATATGCATTTTACCTAGGAAAAATGAAATATTTTGTGCCCGCCCATAGCAAATTCTGAAAAAATGCATATTGCAAAATTCATATTTTTTGAGTATGTTGTACCGCCTCTGCCCAAAATGCTATTACTGGTTTGGGTCCCCCCAACATGTCATGGTGTTGGATTTGCAATCATGGAGTCAGGGACCTTGGGGCTTGGGTTTGCTGAACTGGGGCAAATGGCGTATTGAATAAGGATGATGTACTGTATAAATAAAATCGTGTGTATATAACAATAAATTCAGACCATGCAATGTAGTGACTACTGACTAGTGTCGTAGGGCCATATATATATATAAATATATATATATATAGGATTGCATCACTTGAAAATGCAAGTAAAGCCAGCATTGAGTCTCTAGAAGCTTTCTTTGTTCATTGATTACATGGTGGTTTGGGGATAGTAGTTAGCAGATAGGACCTGCTATGTTGTATGTTCAATGGACAGGCATGATCTCTATATGCATTCTAGTATGCATTCAGTGGTGGGGCAACTGAAACATATGCATTTTTGAATATGCATTTTCAAATTTTGAATATGCATTTTCCTGGATTTTTCAGCATGGCTGCTGTAGCCAAAGGTATTCCATAAATTTTCTCATAGTTCGAACTGGGATCCTAAGCTCGATCCACGTCGCCTTATAATCAAGGTTACCACACTAATTCGGAGTGTATGAATGAACATTAAATATAGGATATCTCCTGCATCTCAGTTGTTTTCACCATCTTTCACCACCGCCCATTGCCATTTTTGAGGAAGGATCTTGCCCAGGAGTTTCATCAACCTGAATACCTGGGAGTTGCGAGTGGATTTTACCTATGATCCAAAAACCATATAAAATAAAAACACATATAAAAACACAGAACTCAGCAAATCCAAGATGCTTCCCAAAAATTGGAACCAAAGTTGCTTCCCATGCTCCAGGACCATTGTCGGGTCACAATTAAAACAAATCGCGGCGGCTACCAGCATCTGTTGGAAAATCTCCTGGTTTGACCCGTTTTTGGTGGTCGAATGTGGTTGGGGTTACCCAAAGAAAATACCCTCTTCAAAACCCAAGAGCGTGCACTAAACTAACCGAGGGTGACCCAGTTCAGGCCCTTATCCAATTGTTTGGGAAACCAAATTGGCAAAAGAACGGGAAAAAATAACGAAACCAGCAAGCAGTTTCTTGCTGATTCTTCAGGCCATAGTTGTACTTCACGTAAAGCTCCCAGTTCCTCGGATTTCTGCGTTGAGATAACCTATCTCAGGGAAAAAAATATGCGACATCACCCAATAAATCTAAGTCACTACCTACAATGGATCCATAATCTGTAATGGCAATTGGGTTTAGCCATATAACTCATATAACTAGCAAATATGAACATATTAACAATATAGTTCATCCAAATCACAATCCTTTTACCAATTCTAATCTCCCCATCTGTCGCAAAAAAAACATATAAGCAGTGTTCAAAAGCCTCTGACATCCCTTTCTACTGGTCGATTGGGAGGATTTCCCACAGTAAAATACCCTCTGGTAAACATACAAAAAACTACGGAAATCACCATGTTTAATGGGAAAATCCATTATTTCGACTGGGCCATTCTCTCAAATTCGCAAACTGTTGACATGACCAGAGGCTATTGGATGGCAAAACTCCATCAACCAAGAGGAGTGAAATGCAGCCACTGCTCAAATGACGCTCTTCGCAGGGTTCCAGGTCGTCCACATGCTGCCTGAACTCGCCCCTCTGAAATCTCCGGCGTGTGCTGAAATCCGCACCGCCAGCCTGAAAAATTGGGATCCTAAGGTGACCACATGTATTAGGAAAGCCGGTTTGCAAACACCAAATCTCAATCATTCTAAATCATTCTAAATCAACATCATGTCTCAGCAAATTCCCAATGTTTGGCCGGTTCTTCGACAAATCCTCATTTTTTTGATGATCATCGGCCCATTCTGTGATGGTTCTGGCAGCGATCGAAAGCCTCATGCCCGTTGCTAGCATCAAACAACTGTCGCTTATGGATCTATATCCATTCATTTGGGTGTGCCTGAAAATGGGGTATACCAACACAAACATTTAGCGGGATAATTGATGGTTAACCATCACAATTTTGCGGGTCCTAGTTTCAAAGAAGTTTCAAAGAAACCCGCTTCAGAAAATCAAAGATTGTGACCCTGGCATGAATAAAACAGGATTAAAAAAAGAAACGTTGTCCTGCGAAAGAAAACCATGGACCATGGAATAAACAATTGAATCATTCTTGCCCGCACGCACCTGCCATAGATTGGTAACAACCAAAAAAATGGGGCCCACCAGTTAGACTCCCTTCAATCCCAGCGAATGCGAGCCGGGCTAGTACCCTCCTTTTGGGTTTGTCCAAAAGTGACTCCAGCACATCCCAACAAAGAAACCAGGAAACAGTTGCTACAAGCTACAATCCTGATCCATAGAAAACTTGAGACATAGTGGGATGAAACTGGATTAATTACCAGCAATATGATATGGCTGAATTGGGGGCCATGTTCATACAAACCCACCTATTCCATTATATTCTATTCAGATTGTTAAAACCACCAACAACTAGGCATAAAGGCAGATTGATCGTGTATGTTTGCAGGGAATGACGTTTGTGGGAAAATAATTAGATCAAGTTGGTTTCGGCTTCATACATTCCAAAATCAGGTTTGAAGCCGGTGAACAAATCCAATTCAGGGTACTTTTGGTCGGGAACCAAAAAAGATGTTCATGAATCCATGAATACGCCCTCGGATTTGCTGATTTAGGGCTTAAAAGAGAATAATCAGCATGATGATGCACCCTTTCTTGTAGATTTCCCATGGAAAACCCTCTGGTAATTTAACATAGCTATAGAAAATCACCATTTTTAATAGGTAAACCATCTATAAATGGGCCATTTTCCATGGCTATTGGTTCGAGGCACTTTTGTTCCATCTCGAAGCTCGGCTGAGTCCAGAAAATCCTGTTGCTGCGTCTGCGATTCTGTCAGAAAGCCTCCGCAAAATGCGCAGCCGAAATCCTCGCTGTTTTCATCACGTTCAGAAAGCTCCTGAATGGGGTTGCTTGATATGGGATGGTGACCGCGATGATGATAGTAGTGATCATGACGATGACGATGATTTCTGAAAATGATGACAGGGATGATTCTTACGGTGATCGGATGATGGATAATGAGGACATTGTGGTGGACATTAATATTCTTACAATTGTTTACATTACTTATATGGGATTTGATAAGAGCCAGAGCAGACAGTTTCGATCAATTTGCTGTCAACACCTGGGGTGTTAACCTTCACTGTACGTTTCTGCTAACCAACTAAGACTGGGATATCTTGAGGTTCACTCACCCTGACAAAATGACATTGCGAGAAGGCTGGCTGAGAAATGACCATGTTTTCGAATGACTTTACATACCTACGGGAAACTTGGCTTATAACTTATAACATCTTATAATTTATAGCCCTGCTATGGCTCTTCGGGATACCAACTTTCTGGTCCAACTTGGGACACCCCTGGGCACAACGAAAACGTGAATGAAAATTACTTGAAGCTTGGCACTTTGGCCCTGGAAAATCCCGGGTCGTCTACGGTTGAGACTTGCAAATTTTACCGCAAAATACTGTGATCTTTCAACCCCCCCCCGTTCAGGGTCTATGCCTAACTTGGCGAAGTGCTGATTAGAAATTGTAACCTGAAGACAAGAAATGCGACACCTGGGAAAACCCGGGAATCCAACAGAAGAGCTTCACGGACCAGGTGATGGTTTTGGTGCAAATTCTCCCATGCGACATACCTTGACATGGTGAACCCCTCTGATTGATGCAGACAAACAAGGAAGCAAAACTCAAATTTCAACAATCCACAAATGGATACCGTTTTTAAAAAAACGCATGCCAAGGGATACCAAGGGCCAAGGACCCTTGATGTGATATTAAGATATGTTAAGATCTGATCTTCCACGAAACCCGGATACCAATCACGTCAACCAAGTGTCGGCCCCGCAGGTCAAACATACGAAAGGCATGGGCGCCAGGTGGACTTCCGAAGACCAGGCGAATCGCGAAATTCTTGGATCGCGTTGGAAACGTTCAAAGGCAGAAAATCATCCTTGAAATAGTGAAGATTCTATGGATCGATGGGACATGGTGGGACATCATACCTTTCAAATTCCTGTTTTCTCGATATTCCTCTACTGGAAGATGTTCTGTGCTCATTGAAAATCTTGACTTTTTGTTTTTCGCAGTACGCACTGCTCATGAATCTGCGCCAACTTTTGAATACATTCGAATACAAAAGGCCTGAAAAGGCTCTGGACCTTCAACCCTTTGCATCCATGGAAAGCAAACGTGACTGAACAGGTCACAGCCATCAAAAAAAACACCACTCAGAACCCTCAAAAAGAACGGAAAATGGAACCTAAGCGCCCCAAACCCATGCGAACATTGTCTTACATAACATAGTGTTGGGTTCAACCTGGTGCAGTTGACACTACATCCTCTGGTAACCAAACCTGGCTTGCTCCAACATCCACCTATCTTGGTAGCGTTACCATTGAGTGATAGGTCCCCGAATCGATGAAACAACTGGATGAACAATAAAAGGATAGATTTTGCTGAAGCCGCAGTTCACCAAACCATACTAAACCCTTTCGAGAGCTGTTTCTGAAATCTTTGTTATGTTTGTTCATCTTCATATCCGAAAATGGGTCTGATTTCACTATGGGGTGGCAATATGTAGCAATAACAATGGCAATTTTCTGATTTTCTTGCATGTTTCCACAGATTTTCACAGTCATTGTATAGAAATTCGGCAGGTCTTGTGACCCCGATTGGAAAACTGGCGATTCACCACAGCACAGTCCGAGCACGGCACCGTGGCAATGATCTATGGATTGGCTCAAGGGAAATTCATGAAACATCAGAAAACCATGTCTTGTATGTCTTGTTCCATTGGAAGGGGCTCCTGCAAACAAGCTCCGGGTTTTTTTGCCTTGAATGCATACCTTTCTAGGTTGCTGCCCCAAATAATACAATTCTGGATTTTCGCGCAATGTGTGCACCACTTTTTCTATGAATCTGTCTTCTTACCCAGCTGCTCCATGTGTTCCCTTCGCATGGGCTTTGGTGGGGATGATAGAATCCAATGTGGAAATCCAAACGTCGGCCTCATTCCTACATCAACTGCGAAGATTGGTTAACATACAACCCCCCTTCCAACAAAAAAAGACACTGCCAAACAGGGGGAACACTACTTTCATTTAAAAAATCAACTGATCATCGCCTCTTCTCAAGGTCGAGATGTGAAAAAAAGGGGGATGTTACTAAATGGCGATTCAAAAAACTGACGCCTTCCCATTTTTGCTGCTTAAAATTTGTTAAACATTGTTAAAATGATCAAAAAATCTGTGAATTCCCCATGGCTGGCAATCCCTTGGTCATCCCCGGCGCCTGTCAACTCGGAGACTGAAGCTTCGCGGGTCATGGCCTGGAAAAAATGGGAAAATGGTGGGTTTAGGGTCAAAAGAATGGTGGAGAACGGTGAAGAATAGGGATTTTTGCTATTTTTTGATTGGGAAGTCTGATTAAGTAAGTGTATGACTTAATCAGGTGTAATGATGATTAAATGGGATTAAAATGGGGGTATCACCAACATTAATCAACTATAATGGGGTTATCATCAAAATAGAACCAAATGTCCATGGATTTTTGGGGCTACGGTTTGCCGTGCTCCTGTCATGACTTTGTTTGTCAGTGGAAAAAAAACAATCCGTCGTATCGTATCCATCGGTTTGTCGTCACTTTTCCTGTTAGTTGATGGCTTATTTGGGAATTATTTGGATAGCCGATTTTCAGACAGATCATGTCAGATCCCAAATACTGATGCTTAGATTTGGGATGTATCTTGTTGGAAAAATCATCCTCAGAATAATGAGAACAAGAATGCTAGTGATAATGCTGATGACATTTCTAGAAATCTCTAGAGGAATCACAAGCAATATGTTTTCAGCCACGCCTGCGGCTTCTTGAAGTCTTCGGAGTTCCGGATGTTTCATCAGACACCGCTCTGAAACCCTAAGTTAGCTTGGGCTCCGGCGTATATCATGGGGGGATCAGAGGGATTTTGCTAATGGAATTAACATGGTGATGTAATGAGGTTTGATTCGGGATATAACTAACTATGAGGAGATTGGTGGGATTAAATGAGTTGACGACCAACCTTTTGACGAAGATATGCATTGGGGACAAATAGCAACCATATGCATTTTGGGTGCTCCGAAAATCAGTATACCTCAAAGTCTTAAAGTGGCATGGCCTAGCGGAAACCAAGGGTAACCCGCATTTTTTGAGACCCCATATGATCCCTAAGAACCTGACTATGAAAACAATTTTTTCCCCGAGGAAACTCCACACATTGCTCCACCAAGATCTTCTTCGCTTGAACTTCCCTGTCACGTTGATTCCTTTCTTCTAGCGACAGTGCATGTTGTCCTACCGGGAAACATTTCCTGGTGATTCAAGTTGGAAAAAAGCACTCTGAGAAAGAACCAATTGCCTGAATTCTGCGGGGGCTAGCAAGATTTGAGAGTGGAAACACGCCTTGGGGATGGTACAACCAACCTTGTAGTGATGTTTACCATGATTCATGGGGATATCAGGGATGTAAACCATTAAAAACAACAACTGAGTCCTAGTTTCACTCAAAAATGGAAGCCTTCGATCAACAAGAAAGGGCCATAAAGCGTGGTGCACTGCCTGAAGCCATTGTTATCTTTGATTCTCTTCGTTTCTGTTGGTGAAATCCACCTAGCAACAACTAAATTCCCCCAATTTTGCATGCTGAAATCCCATCTGTAAATGTATTTGGCCGGCATTACTCAGGTCGATCGAATCAAGTTCTTTTCCTTCAACCCAAGTGGTGTAGCTGAGCTTGAGCCATCTGCAAAGGCATCCCTTTTGAAACATCGAAAACTGTGGGGTTTGAAATGCCAACATGTGGGGAATGAATGAAAAACCAGTGGAATAATTGATGCATGTCATTAGTTGGTTGGTTAAATTATTAATTGTAGCCCGGAAAAATTGCGGTTTGTTTTTTTGGTAAATTCCGACCTTAGAATGATGGTAAATTTCACCATTTAACCTGTTCAAATGCTGCTTCAGGGTGCCACTAATATGGAGTCGATGGGGACCTATTGAGATCGTCCTATTTTCTGAAAGAAGATGGCAACTTACTGAAACTTAGCAGGGGAATGGCTGGCGCTTTTCGCCACGGGCCACGGCTAGATTTGACATACTAACTGGTCCAATATTACAACTTTGTAACATTAATGTAATTTGTTAAACCCGCTCGCTTAAGTTCAAAGGAACCTCTGTAATTATAAATGTTATTTCAAAGCCTTAAAACTTACCTCATGCAATCATCAAATGGTTGTCATTTTTCCATTGTGCACCTTGACGTTGCAACGCTGCATCAAATGGGGATTGTTCCCCAAGGCAGCCACATGCAAAACCGCATAATGTAAATACACATTTCGGCATCAGATCATGTCATGCCAAAACCAATGCTTGTGGGATTTTGAACACCTTTCTATCTGTTTCTGTGGTTGCCATAAAAACAAACCAGAACATGTTTTTATACCATGGCCACTGTACACTGCAGGCCAAGCCATGTCTGAATTCTGCTCCTCACTCCACCTGTCCGGTCGGCATTTTGAAGGACTTCTCACACACACAAAAATCCAAACAACGGGGTTCTGACAAAGGAATATGGGTACCACAAGTGCAGCGTACCTAAAAATGAACAACACATCAACAAGGGTGATATGAGGTTGTCGCAGCCGCTTCATGTGAAAGTGTCAAGGGTCACCCGCAAAGCAACCGCCATCCAACTTCAAAAAATGCAAATCGGATGGAACCACCAAAAAAAAATGGCGATTGGCATTCTATCTCTTGCTTATGATCAGGAAGTGCACTTTGAATTCTATATTTTACATGGTTGCTTGGAACTTTTGCAATTTGAATCAGAACATGGATTTCAAGAAAATCATGGTTTCAATGTGGGGCTAATGAGTCACACAAACATTGTTTGAGGAAGCCTGAGCATATGGCGCAGTCCTTTCAAACCAATCCTTGTTGGTAGTTCTGGCCACATCTGGTTGGTGGTTGACCTACCCCTCTGAAACATATGATTTTGTCAGTTGGGATGATGACATTTCCAACTGAATGGATAATCATAAAATTCCATGGTTCCTAAACCACCAACCAGACATTGACACCATCACTCCAAACTCTCCTTGGACTTATCCGCTGGTCAGATCCCCCACAAAAGGGTGTGGCTTCAGTAGTTTTAATGCGACGCTTATGTCTTCCATGATAAAGTCTGGAAAAAACAAATTGTCATGATAGTAACCCCAAAAAAGATAGACAACTTGTGTGTATACCACTTTCAATCGAATTTTACTTCTCAATCTTCCTATCATAATCATAACCTAACCAGTCTGCTAGGCATCTTTTTATGCCAAAAAATGACACGTGATCCACCTGCGCCACCAAGCAAACTCCACGCAGTTTCCAATGATGAGGGTGGTACCTTAGCAGTCCCATGTGGCTGTTGCCCGGCCCAAGAATGCAGCAAACATGTTCAGTCCGGGGTGAGTGGTATGGTTTCCCCTGCGTTTGTTGGTAGGGATGAAATCAAAGAATCGTGGAAACCGGCAGATTCATATTAAATGAAGTGATGAACTCAGGCAGCCGGTGATGTTGATAGTGAACTTAATGCCTCAGGACAGGCTCCCGCCACTTCAAGACCACCAGGATCTGATCCTTCCCATTTCGGTGTGAACATGGGGTACGGTGGACCCTCAAAATTCAATTTTCGGAGAAAGCTGATGATCAACCCCATTTGGATGCAATGCGATAGCCCTATTTACTGAGCCAAATCCATGTAAACACTTCGTTTATGTCAGTTTTTTCCGTGATTTTGGGATTCTCAATCCTCCCAAAGCTGACAACCATTTCCCATGGCTCTCTAGGGGCCCAGCTCTCCAGACCTGAGGAAGAGCCTGAAAATCAAATACCTGGGAAGTGACACAATGGCAAACAGTTTCCCACATGATTTCCACACACTTTACCCTCTGGTAAACATACAAAAAACTATGGAAAATCACAATTTTTAATTGGTAAATCCACTATACATGTGCCATTTTCAATAGCTATGTTAAATTACCAGAAGGTAAATGAGTATCTAAAACCGAACTTGGAGCTTCAAGGAATCAAAAAATGGGAGCATGGCATGTCATAAATTGGGTCGATGCTTTGATGGCGATAGCTGGTGATTGCCCGTTTCATGCCAAAAACACAAGTCCATAAAAATCGTGCCATTTTGGGATAGATTTCCGGATCCCTCCGGCAGTTGGCCATTTCGACCATTCGCCATCATTTCCCCAAAAAATATGGTGATTTTCCATTGCTATGTTAAATCACCAGAGGGATAATCAAACAACATGGCAACATGCTCCACTTCAACTCACGTTGTGCCTGTCGTTCCTGCGCGGGTACTTGTACACAGCGGCCTAAGTGAGAAACGAATCCGGGGGTAGTGATTAAGATCGACTTGGCTGACGGCTACCCTCTGGCATAAATGTAAAACTTAAAGGAGACATGAACTCCCCATCGCCATGTTTGAGTACCGCAGGGTAGCTCATGTGCATGTAATACCGCAACAAGAATACATCGTTAAATATTGTCAGTTGGGGTATCATGGCATAACTGGCAAAATGCCGGTGGAGGATGCTACTTGACCGCAGCTTGGCTGAATTGACATGATTTGACTCATTGCACTCGTCCATCTCAATTGATCAGCCCTACCGTAGACCATATTTCATTCACCCTATTCTACCACTGGGAGGTGAAGCAAAGGCTGTACCCAAAAAAGGGCTTGTTGTCAGGCTTGCCAGCACCATCCTTTTTCCACATCGCAGGGGAACCGCAGCTGTGAATGGTTCAAGTTCCACCTGACTGGCGTCAGTGTTTCCTCATAAATCTCAAGATTTCGATCCCAAAATCTGATCCTCGCTGAGAACCAGCTTCCGTAAACTGCTGGGGTCTTAGATCGAGTCCTTCAGGACCTTCACAGGAAAGGCCTTCACAACGGTCTTCGCGGGCTGGGGCTTCACCTTCACTTCCTTTCCGAACATCATCCTGGTGCCACCTGCACCCAATGTCAGAAACTGCCCAAACTTAATATCATTGAAAATGGGTGAAATGTTTACCATCCCCAAATGGTAGCTGGTTGTGGCATTGGGTTTGCCACAGGATTTGGGATGCAGGATATGTATGACTTTTCTGATCCGTATTTGCAGAACACTTTTGGCATGTGGGGGGAAAGATTGGCCGAATGCAGTGCGAAAATCCAAAAAAATCCGAATCCCTACCACCATGTTGCCCGCACATTTAACTTTCCTCCATCCTCATTCCAACTCTCCAAAAACAAAAGATCCAATGCCATCTATCCCATCCGTCCAATACTTGAGAGCTGGATCCTGCTTCTCCGAAAAAATATCAAGAAAACCAACCCGCCTTTGGTTGCCTTCTTCTTGCGTGTCTTGATCATGGCAAGGCCTGCTCCAAATCTGGCAGTGAAAACCTGACTTATCATGTGCCACTGGGCTGGTCAAAAGGAACGCCTACACATGTTTTCTAGGAACTGAGCTGCAATCATGCAGAACGAATTTTACAAGTCGAGGGTTTTGCCTATGAATCATATCAGATTGGAAAACTTGGCTACAAATCAATATAAGTTATAAGGCGCCAAAATCCGGCTTTTGGCGCTTACCAACCTCTGGGCCCCAAGTGCTATAAAAATTCTGGCCAAAATGGGCCATCAGAACAAGATGAAACCCGATTTCCGGGGTTTGACACCAAGTTATCCCGCCTGGCAGGGTGAATTTGCCGTTCTTCACCACTTCTTTGGTGCCAATCTCTGCCAACAGATCCAAGACCTGACCCCAAAAGATCCAGAAAAATCTCTTTGGAAGACATGTGAATGATGTGAAATCCACAGTTCCCACATTTTCACTGTGATCATTGTGTATTGATTGTATATTGATGTCTTGGCTTCCAATCTTCAGGGTTACCACATGTTACCACGTTCAGTCCGGGCACCTTCAGTCACCTAGTCAAACAACCCAACCATTGATTGACCAGGTTTTATCCTCATCTTTATTTCTGAATCCCTGATTGTAATGAAGATATCCCAGATTTTTAGATACTTTGAATATCGTTGAAGTGCTCATCCCTTGATGTTTGGTATTTCAGGATTAGCTATATTTCAGAAAGTAAAGGCAGAATTGAAGATTTTCGCTAGAACAAATGCAATGTGGAGGGGCAAACCGTCTGTTTTGCATGTTTCTGGTGCAAAATCTTCAATATCTGTTTTGGTGGACAAAATCATCTTTGATATTTTATCTGGTGATTCCATTCATTTCTTGATCTTGCTGGTCCTATTGGTTGTTCATCCCAAAACCTGCCGTGATTCATCTCCCAATTTTTTGGTGGGTGATTGAACTGATTACCCATCAACTTCATTAGTTGCTGAATCACCATCGTTTTTCCATGGCCAATCTTGGATATTCTGCAAGGACTAGGTTTCTATATCCCCATTTCAGTTCACGAAAGTCCAAATTCCAATCCAGTCGGTTGTCCCAGAAATGTCACCAATCATAATACTATATGATTGTTTAAACTTTTCATCATTATTTATTACATACCAACAAATTGCATACCAATGACATTCCCTTTTGTCGCAAGAGAAAGCCACCAATACTAAAGTGCCAATCCGATCTCGGCCAATCATATTGCATGACCATTATCTGCGAAAGCCTCCCCTATGATGTAGGTCTTTATCCCAACGAAACATCACCAGTTCCCTTTGTATTGCAGCCCTTCTCATGACATTCCCAGCCAAAAATGGGTATAGACTACTATAGTTCCCCCATGTTTTTCCCATATATATTTTGTGACTTCACCTAACTCCCACCTTTTCCCATCCATAAAAATCACCCAAAAACATCCAAAAACCAGGCCTTGGAGACGTGAGACTTCTTGAGCTCAGCTGCCTCGGCCAATTCTGTGGCCAAGGCGCCTTTGGACATGAGCTTCGCCGTCTTCATGGCCTTCATTGCCTTCATCGCCTGTCGGAACACATGGAAAGGTGGAGGCCCGAATTTTTGAAAACAAACATGGGGCTTCTTTACAATGGTTTCACCGTTGAGCAAATCCGTGACTGACAGTTTTAGCCATGGGTTTTGCATGAGTTGTGTTTTTTTGAAGGGCCGATCAAGGTTTTTGGACTCGCAAATATCAGGGGTAAACATGGGAAATAACATGACATTGGGAGGATGATTGCCTCAACCGACTCAACCGATTTTTGGCGATTGAGGCAATCTTGAGAACCTCGGGGGATTCCAATGAACAGCTGGAAAATTGGGGATGTCAACACAAAGCGGAGCACCAAAAACATGGATCACTTGGACCACTTTACCGTCAAAGGTTGGCATTGGAAATCTGCGGCATTGGAAGCTGAATTTGCCATTGGCACCGGAATATAATGTTAGCTCCTGATTAGTAGCTAGGGTCGCTATTGTGGCAATTTTTCCAAATTATTCTGAAACTCATGTATTGTTTGGAGGGTTCGCTTTTGTGGCAAAACAAAATTGGGAGAACCCTTTTTTTTGAAAAAACATGTAATTGCTGAGAGGCATTTTTTTCCCCAAAAACGCTGTAGCTCAGTCAAGTTTTTGCTCATCTCTCTATCTGAGCCTGTAAATGCATCTCTATCTGAATAGGTTTGTTTGCTGGGTTCACTATTGCAGCAAGCTGTGCCAGAGCAGCCCCTGGAAGCCCAGAAGGGAAGCAAGCCTTTTCCAAAATTGCAAAATTCAAACTCTAAGCCTTTACCAAAAGAACCAATCCTTATTAAACCCTTATTAAAGAACAGCTTTTTCACAATTTCCCAAGGCCCTGGACCAGGAGAGGCTCCATTTCACTTTAGTAGGTTTGTTTGCTGGGTTCACTATTGCAGCAAGCTCTGCCACAGCAGCTCCTGGAAGCCCAGAAGAGAAGCAAGCCTTTTCCAAAGGCAATTGCCAAATTCAAACTCCAAGCCTTTCCCAAAGGAGCCAATCCCTTATTAAACCCTTATTAAAGAACAGCTTTTCCACAATTTCCCAAGGCCCTGGACCAGGAGAGGCTCCATTTAACTTTAGTAGGTTTGTTTGCTGGCTTCACTATTGCACAAAGTTCTGCCAGAGCAGCTCCTGGAAGCCCAGAAGAGAAGCACGCCTTTCCCTTACTACAAGTACTACATGTACTACAAGTACTACAAGTACTACAAGTACTACAAGTACTACAAGTACTACATGTACTACAAGTATTACAAGTACTACAAGTACTACAAATACTACAAGTACTACAAGTACTACAAGTACTACAAGTACTACAAGTACTACAAGTACTACAAGTACTACAAGTACTACAAGTACTACAAGTACTACAGGTACTACAAGTACTACAAGTACTACAAGTACTACAAGTACTACATGTACTACAAGTACTACAAGTACTACAAGTACTACAAGTACTACAAGTACTACAAGTACTACAAGTACTACAAGTACTACAAGTACTACAAGTACTACAAGTACCACAAGTACTACAAGTACTACAAGTACTACAAGTACTACAAGTACTACAAGTACTACAAGTACTACAAGTACTACAAGTACTACAAGTACTACAAGTACTACAAGTACTACAAGTACTACAAGTACTACATGTACTACAAGTCCTACAAGTACTACAAGTACTACAAGTACTACAAGTACTACAAGTACTACATGTACTACAAGTACTACAAGTACTACAAGTACTACAAGTACTGCAAATACCACAACTTCATCGGCAAAAAAAACAATAGTAATTAGATTTCAATTGTAGCCAATTGAAATCCTTACTTAATTGAGGATATGTTTTTCTTTTGGGAAGAAAATTTTTGACTTTCTACTTTAAAGAGAGTCCAGATATAGTTTAGGGGGAGGGGGGGGCACACACTAATCAGGAACCAACATTAACATGTTTTCATGTTCCATTTCAGGGGCGAGGAGTGACAATGAGACAAATTAAAGTCAACACAATGTTGTTGAAACCTGGAGTCAAATCAAAAAGAAAGCGAACTGCATTGATAGCATTTATAGAGGCACACACCAGGGAGACATAACCAGCAAGAATCTGGATGTAGCAAACCTTTCATGAAGGACATGCAACTCATATCATCAAGACATGACCAGCACTGGGGTGTAGCGAACAAAGAGCGGAGGCTACACTCAACAAATAACCAGATCGAGAAGAAATGGGATACATGGGAAGGTGAGCAAACAAAAATACGATGGTAAACATCCAAACTATGAGGCTGATCACCTTAGTTTTTAGTAAAATGAAGTTTCGAACATTCGTGCGTGGCAGTCACAAGTGCCGCCATCGACCCAAATAGCCTAGTTTGGTTTTTCGCTCGGATAAAAAACATGGCCAGCAACCCTGTCGCAAAGCTTGTCAGTGTAGAAATTGGCTCAGAAAAATCTGAAGCTAGGCAAGAATCACTGAATATGAGAAATACAACTAGTTTTTAATTGCAGCTGCCAATTTCAAACTTGGTTCTGCTTCTTCCATTGAGGTCTCTAATTAGTTCCAGCGGCACTGGAAACAACAGGCAGGAAGTGATGTGGCGACTTCCTACTGGCAATGTAAGAACATGACCCAACTGGGCACCCGTTTGTCACCCAAATGCAAGCCCCATCAACTTTGAACAAATCCTAAACGTGAAATTAGGATTCATACCCCGAGTTTATCATCTAATAAGCTGGGAGTCTAGAAATTCTTGGTTGACATGACATGCCGAATCTGATCTGAAACAATTTCCATCCGACTTAGAATCCACCTCCACCCCTAATGACATTCCCAGGCCTTCATCGGAGCCATGACTGTCAAGTGTTAGGCAATTTTTTCTCAGCAGTTTGAGCCAAATCGCTTGGTTTTAGCAGGTGGTGACACAGTGGAAACAGGAGAACGCAAACACGGAAAGCATACCATGGATTTTTGCTCTCCCACAATTGGGATAAAACAAACCAAACCGGGGATATTGAGACTGATTGTGGTTCTTGACAACTAATGGCACGTGTTTTGTCTGAAAAAAGGATGCCCCAAAATCCAGTTCACCTTAGATTTTCTTCTATATTTGGGTGATGCATTCATTTACAATCCATTAACGACTTCAAGTGAACGATCTTGAGAGTCACATGCAGTCACAAGTGTTATGTCGGTTTTTAATGAAGCACAAAGGATCGAATTCCGAGAATTTGAAGGAAAATGATGGAAAGCTACCGGAATCTCATGAAATTCATGGACAGCCCATGGTTTTCTCCAAGGTCCAGGCATTCAGTGGAGGATACAGTCCGGATGCCCTCAGGGGTTTTAGATGGGCGACAGATTTAATGATGGGCAGTTTGTGCAATATTTCAATCACGATCTTTGATCTTTATGATCTTTTCCGGGAGATGGGGATGGTTTTGATGATAGCCATTTGGATCTGTCATACAGCGTCCGGTCCGATATTTTGTCGGAGCCCTATCTGTCCGAAGTTCAGCCCCCATGGTTATCACGACCATGCTCACTTCGCCAGGATCAAATGGGAATGGGTCAAGATCTCAGAAACAACTTTACACACCCTCCAAATTGTACAGCCTTAAAGGCTTAAAGGCTTACGTGGAACACCATGGGAACCTTAAAAGCCTAATGGCTATCAAATCATGGAGAACGTGCTGTATAATAGAAAAGCACACATATGTGCGTTTGCAAATGCACGTTCAAATCAACAAATGAACCAAGGACAAAGTATAGATAGATCTATCTATCTGTCTATCTGCCTGTCGCTCTCTCTCTCTCTCAGTAAGAGCATTGATATATGTGAACAAATTTGATCCTTGTTCTGGATTATCCCTTTTGATTGTAGTACCGGTTGTGCTGGTAGTGCAGGGCAACGTCACTGCATGGCGTTCGGAGAACGGTCTTTTTCCTCGCGCATGACTTGAGCCAAGTGATTGGCAGTCCATGCATAATTGTTTACATGCTCAGCATGTGCAGTTGCTGTATTACCTGGTTCCCTTTCGCACCCCCCATGCCTACGGCATCTTCGAACCGTAGGCACGAGAGTGGGAACTTTGAATTAAGTCCTTCTGCTGCTCGAATTACGCCTATGTACATAAACCGTGCCATTCGGATCCCCCTTCCCCACATACCCGTCGGGTATAATGGTTCAGGGTTCACCTACTCTTTGGCTGTCGATGCATCGGCGCTTCCTCGAGCTATACAACGCGAATTATTGCTAGCTAACATCTACTTTTCTACGTTGGCTAAGCATGCCACTCACCCGTCGGGAGAAATGGATCGCCTCGCTACCAAAGATTTACAATGCTAACTAACGAATTCACGTGCACAATGCAGAATCTCGTGCAGATTGGGAATATCAAAAGTCTTGAACCTAAGCGAATTAGTCTAATGCCTCGCTCAGTGTCCACTCAGTTGGTCTTTTCCTGATCATCTGTTCATAAAGACGGTAAACATCTTGTAGCCCAGTGATCATTTTGACGGATCGAAGCAATTGGTTTACTGCTCACGGCGGACTTTCTTCCATTGAGGTGCTGTTGGAGTTCTCTCCCATCCTGCCGCACGTTTCGGAGCAGCTTTCGGCGATGAAGGCTTTGCAGGCGGTGCCTTTGATGGTTCATGGGATTTCGGCATAGCCTTGCCCTTTGGTGCACTAGCCGATGAGGATGATGCTGAACCAGTGCCTTCAGGTGTCTGTGAAGGTTGCGCAGTTGGTTTAGCAAACTTGGAAGCTGCAGTATGTCCAACCGCTTTGAATACTTCACTCACCACTTCGTCGCCAAGGGTTGGAGCCATCTTCGCTTTCATCTCGGTCTTTCCCCTCTGCGCCTCGGCCTCGGCCAGCTGAATAGCATAAGCCATCTTGCTGACAAAGTTTTGAGGTAGAGGAATGCCACACTGTTGGGCTGCAAAGAGCAGTTCTACTCTCTGTTCTTTCTCCCTCAGGCTCAGATATACCGAGAAAGCTGGGAGTTC